CTCCTATCTTCTTAGTAATAAATCCAGTTACAACAAGCAACACGATGAAGTCCGGCTCCACCACAACAAAACTTCGAGATCGAATCAAGAAAAGAGAAAAAATCACAAGCCATGTTCTTAGCGGTTTTAAGACAGAATGTCGTCCTCGTATGTTAAGGGCCAGCTGGAGCCAGGTTCCTTGCATGATTTCGCAGAAGTGAAAAGACCATTCATATAATTTAATATTATACTATTAGCGAGAAATTGGTTAGCTCTGTGGTAATGTTATTACTTGAATGTAGGGCCTGAAGGTACACAAGGGAAGTATAATATTTAAAGGCTATTTATTAAGAAGGGGTGGGATATATAGATACACGCCAGGAAAATATACTACTTAACCTAGAAACTCAACAGGTAATAATAATTAACTTCAAGCGCTTACAGCTTCTCTCGCTACCCTAATACTAGCTAGCCGCCCTAGAGCCTAATAAGTAAGGGCGGATTTAAGATATAAGGAAGAAGATTAAGGCAGTATCTCATCCTAGTAGTATTAGAAGCTAGCTAGAGCCAGGTTTCTTATATAATATCGCAGGAGTGAGTGGGGTGTTCATATAGCTTAATATTACACTATTAGCGAGAGATCGGTTAGCTTTACGGTAGTACGCGACTCTACGTTCGCGGTAGTTCTTGTACGCGGTTCTACGCACGCGGCAATTTTCATACGCGACTTTGCGTCTGAGGTCTGTTTAGTGTATAACGCTATGTATACGGTGGGTCTCATACGCAATTTAGCGTACGTAGCCCTTGTGATTATTCATTAATTAATCAAGAGATATAGATAGTGCTAGAGAGGTGAGAGATATAGTACTGGAGAGGTAAGAGGCATTATGCTAGGGAGATAATTACCTTGATAGGTTCTTAGTTTAGATCTAATAAGTAGTACTCTTAAGGTATTAGGTATAGCACTCTATAGATATTATAGATAGTACTACTAAGATAGTTAGTGTAGCACTCTATAGATACTAAAGATAGTACTACTAAAGTATTAGGTATAGCACTCTATAGAGGCTATTAATAGTACTAGAGGCGTATAGTGCTAGGAGGTATAGTGCTTAGGAGGCATAGCACTTAAGAGGTATAGCGCTTAGGAGGTATAGTGCTTAAGAGGTATAGTATTTAGGAGATATAGTGCTTAAGAGGTATAGCACTTAGGAGGTATAGCACTTAAAGTATAGCGCTTAGGAGGCATAGTACTTAAGAGGTATAATACTTAAGAGGTATAGCACTTAGGAGGTATAGTGCTTAGGAGGTATAGTATTTAGAAGATATAGTGCTTAAGAGGTATAGCACTTAGGAGGTATAGTACTTAAGGGGTGTAATACTTAAGAGGTATAGTACTCAAGGTATAGTACTTAGGAGGTATAATACTTAAGAGGTGTAATACTTAGGAGGTATTATGCTTAGGAGGTATTATACTTAGGAGGTATAGCACTTAGGAGGTATCATACTTAAGGGGTATAGCACTTAGGAGGTATAGCACTCTGGAGGTATAGTGCTTGGGAGGTGTCATGCTTAGGACTTATCATGCTTAAGAGGTGTTGGGAGGTGTACCTAGTGCTCCAGAGGCGTGTACTACATATAGGGTATAGGTAGTACTAAGAGGTGTAGTATTTAGGGATATAGTGCTTGAAGGATGTTACGTATAGGCTATAGATAGCACGACAGAGACGAAATGCTAAAGCGATGTGATGCTCGACTAACACTTATATAGGGATGTTCCAGAAGACTAACCATCTAAGAAACCAAGCATCCCTAAAACCACCCCCTAGCGCTGCACCCAGGGGCGTACAAGTACTGAGTGCTCTCATGGATTGCACCGGGACACATCTTTGATAGGACGAGAAGTGCTGTTAGCTGGGCACTTAAGATAGTCATGTACGTAGTTGGTAAGGCCCCCTCCGAATCAAGGTAAAAATTTGAGGAACATGAGGGTTCTTTCTCGCGTGCTGCCACATACCTATGGAGTGTTTCGTGTATCAAACAATTCGCTCGCTGATAATCGGCCACTAGACGACAATCACGTCGGTGGAAAAATGACTTAGCTTGGCGAATTTCGACAAACACGCCGGAGTTATGTTTTTCCGTAGACCTGTCCCACAGCCTGGCCACGGTGATTTCAAACGAGCGGGTGGCTGAATGGCTGGCTCATTGATGTGTGGTTGTGTATTATCGCACACGCGGCTTCTTGCATATGTCTCTCAGGTAACACAATAGGCAGTAATTAGAAGTGTGTCGAGAATAACCCTATGCCTTGAGGAACGAAAGGCTCTTTCTTCCGCGCCTTCCTTTCCCAAGCTCGGATCACATAGTGGCGTGCGAACCGACTTCACCACATTCTCTGCGCCACAGCAAGCCACACCTTGCAGAGCGAAAACAGCACCTGCTAAGCCCATGAGCATGCTTAGCCATCACAAAATGCCCTAAAACCTTAAACATATCCAGCATGCTTTGCCAATTAGTCTCTGGGAGCATCACGTGCCTATATTTTTAGTAATAATAATCATGACCCCGCTCGTTTACTACCGCCAGCTGCCTCTTGTAGACAACTACCCTATAGCATGCTTAATTAGAAAGCTAATTTCAATTACCAAGAAAAACATCCGGTCTTTTCATAATGGTATTATAATCTGGATTTCTGCTACCCCATATATAGACATCAGTCCATTCTACTCTTTTCGAGCTCAAAAGATCGGGCTGAATCGTCGTCAAGAGGTTCGCAGCTCAAGATTATCTCTACCGAATCGGTTATCCCACCCAATGTTCGTCGATACAAGGAGATTACAATCCGGTTAGGCCCACGACATCGGTTGATGGCATATCGACAGAGCTTCAGGAACAATAGTCCACAATAGTCGGCGTTAATGAAGTTGAAGTGGCGAAGCCCATCTAGCCCGTACGAGAGTATACCTACCTACCTAAGCAAAGGACTGGAGGGTGGCCTTGGATGAATCTCTGATCCATACCCTGGTCGTCCGATTCACACCCACTAAGTAACTAGTACATCTTTAGGCATAGTGTTCCCACTCAAATTGTATGAGGTTAGTACGCGCAGGTAACTTTTGACACCTATTGAGACACGTGAAGCTATTGCAACCACCCTCGTGCCTTGCCTACGCGTATGACGTCAAGACGAGGGAGGGATTGGTGCGAACCTGGCCAACGCGTCTGCCGTGAAGGGGTTGTTGTGAAGCTGACTAACGCGTCTGTCGTGAAGGGATTGCTACGAGGCTGACTAACGCGTCTCTCACAATAACAAGCAACTGTGAAGCTGACTTAGCTGTCTCCTACCACGACAAACGATTGCCGTGGCCCTGACCGATCTGTCTTCCGTTGAGATGAATAATCGCTTAGCCTCGACCACCCTGTCTTCTGCCGCGATGAGCGATTGCTGCGGCCCTGAACAGCCTTTCTTCCGTCGTGATGAGCCATTTCTATGGAGCTAAACTACATGTCTGCCATCACACATATAATCTGGATGAGGCCGCCGCATCTAGAGATGTATTAGTGGGTGTGATTTTGACTGAACCGCTCGCATGATCATGATAGATCGAGGGTCCCCAGGCCGCGCTGCCTCATTGTCTGCTGTGATGGGACGTGGATGAAGAACAAAAAAACTCGGCCACTGTCAAATGTGGCCCGGAGCGTACTCTGCTTTGCCGATTGCGATTGCGAGCATGAAGGTAAGTTCGTGCAGATCGTTTATTATCAGCCCGGCGTTGGCCACGGCTCCTTCTCTCACGGAGATATGGGCGGCGGAAGCAACAGCTTTTGTCTCGCGAATCTTGCACTAGCTGGGATGATATCGAAGCTGTAGGAGAACCGACTCGCATCATTCGACGGCTACAAGATCAGCCATCTCGCCTCACACTGGAGGTTGTTAGCATGGCTCTTAGAGACAGAAGGCGACGTGGGCTACAAGGTGCCAATTCAGAACTTCGACGCGTTCAATTCGTATACTCGGCGCTATAGACTCGCCACATCTAAGCCGCGAGAACTGGGAGCCGCCGCGGGTCCGGGTAACAATTCGGGGGAGTGTGTTCACATGTTGGTCAAACGACTCCCAGATTCTATTCGAAACATCATCCTCCATAGTAGTACGCTCCAAGACATGGCCGTTCAAGAATGGCCTTAATTAATACGGGTTTAACCTTGGATAGGTAAGTTAGGCTATGGAGAGGCCAGTTACTTTATTGTACTATGTGAACTCTGTGTATTCATTGTGTTGAGATGTTAGGTCTGGCATCTTCCATTGCTGTTTCTTTACTGTGTACTCGACCTCTCACCCCCGTTTTACCTACTTTGTAATCCTGACATCGAGGCACACGAGATAGTGGTAGGGGTTTCGTCACCCTCCACAGTGCGTGGAATTAAGCCATCGAGTCTTGTCAGATGAGGCGGGCGCTGCCTAATTATCTCATCAGTTAAGATCCCCTAGCGGGGGATGCTTGGTGAATGTCGGTTTACCTTTGATCCCAGGAGATTGCCCCAATGACAAATGCTCGCGTTGTGTGAGCTGGCGTGCGGCAATGTTGGTCACTCTCTGACATTTTGGTCAGGTGGGTTGGAAAGAAGGTGACAAGGTAATGTACGCGCGCAGCTGCTATGTTACCGTTCCATTCGCCAGTACTACGAAATGAGACTCGAATACGACCTCGTGGATTCACCCACCAGGCTGATTTTTGCAATGCATAATTTCTGCCACATACTTGTCAGATTGAGGTTACAATATTGCCAACGCTATACACTGCGGGGAATATGCCCGGCCACAGCACCTGGCCGAACAAGCAGACATCGGATTCACCTGTGCTCGGTCTATCGAGCTGCTAATATATAAACAGCAAGTTGTTCATACGATGTGAAAGACGAAATTATCAACAGGCTCATCTTACATCCCGGGCCAGTCAATGCAAAGAACCACCCAAATAATCAATTTACCTCTGCTCTAAAAAGACTACTACAAAATGAGCCTTCGCTTGTGTCTCCTGCTCGCCCCCCTGTCGTTGATTGGCACGGCGCTGGCCGCCCCAAGCAGCCGGCTCCTGGATGAACGGTCAGACCCGTCAATCCAGACTTGCTACGAGGGCGAGCCAACGAGCCTGTTTTGCTACAACCCGCCCAATGGAACGCCGCAAGATGTAGAGGTGGACGACGTCGCCTTCGTCGCCGCCTACCTCCGTGCGTATGGGGCCGAGACAAGGCTCGGCCGTCTCTTCAGCATGGCTGCTGCCGACGCTCCAGACTGCGGCGAGTGGAGTCTCTATTCCCGTGGCACAGCCATGGCGGTTGCAAAACACGTCGATAACACGGTCAACACAAGCGTGCTCTTCGCAGACATTGCACGAACCATTGACGGCGGTGCCAACGCCACCCCGGAGCAAAAGGCCGGGGCCATTATTGGCTGCCTTACTAGCGGTGGCTCTCTCGGCGTCCAGGTCAATACATCAGCCCCTGCCTATACTGCAAGCTCATACCCTGCCGGCTATGTGACCAGTGGCATTGTCGTTAAGATTGTGTGGTCAGGCGCTTAAGCTTACACATCCGGATGAGCCGGACCCGGTGTTCAGACATGGGTGAGGTTGCACAGAAGGAACTGAACAACTTGTGATGGGTACTACACAATACTTTAGCAATTTCTGTCAGTTATACGTGAATCTATTACGTCTATTGCCAAAATTGAAAGACGGTCCGAACCTCCATCATCATAAGCTATAACTTGAGAGTAGAGTAGATCCCAGTTGTGATATATTAAACCCATAAACACGAAGAGGCATGCTGGATGTATGTGTGAAAATAATAATAAATGCCTACCCAAATTGGATTGTTACACCCCGTCTTGTCTTGTTGCAAGGATGGCTCGAGTTTTAAGTCCGTAACTAAGGGATGTAGTATTCGGTTACATTGGGCTGTCACAGCCCTACCATCGATACTGGGGCTGTCAGCCGGCTCATAAACACAAAGTCCCAAAGACTGGCCCCGGATGATAGGGTTTCTGCCTTTCTAGGTTGATGAATCCTATTGCCCTTTTGTCCTGGGGTCTTAAAAGAGTAGGCCCCGAGCTGATGGGAACGAAGAATGCAACCACGTTGTGACGACACAGCGCAAAGTGGACATGCCTGTCGAGACTGTGAAGGATTTTCCTCCCTATTTACATATCACATGCACTAAAAAGAAGTGTTGTCAGCAAATGTTCCCTGCACATTGCCACGATATCGCTTGTTGGATGGTTGCCTTGAATCCTCATCGGTGTACTCACGGCCCTTTCTCGCAACATATCGCATTAGCCTCTGTCGGGAGCAAAAGTATGCAGCCACTAGCATCAACGAGGCCCATCTATGAGAGAGCCACACCATGCCTAAGCTGTGCTTGCGTGGAACCTTGTGCCGATGAGTCCGTGGCCGCTCAACTTGATGCCTCCTTTCCTTTCTCCCTGCTCTTCTCCTCAAAGTGACTTGCTGAGCTCGCGCTGCGGCTCGGGCACATAGATAGTACCTCGGACCTTACAGCAGTCCACCCGTGCCAAGCAAACTAATCATTTGTCCGAAGGTTTGATGAGGCTGAGGAGGTTATAGAGAGACATGATGCTAAATAGAAAGGCAATATGTTAACAGGGCCACAGGTCGACGCGTTCATCAGTAGCAGGTTCAGAGTCATTGAAAACAAGAGGGGTAGATTTATTGAGGTCTATCAGATATATTATAAGAGAAGAGCTATAATCAATTGTACTGTATCCCTATAACCAATACTTAAATTATATATCATATTTCCAAAGAGCTAAAAACCGCAAGATGCTAAGATAACAATGCTTTACTATATGCCTTTCTCGAATTTTGAGTAGGAATGGTATATTTGGCACTTTTTCCCCTGAGAATTTACGCGAGGTTCCCATCTATCACCTAGGTAGGTAGGTAAGTACAGCCGTAGTTATGAAGGTAATGGAGGTATCATACTTGAGCCCCGCAAAGATCACGTGAGGATGCTGCTGTTTGTTGCTACGCGGACAGCACATAAGGACCACAGATACCTTTAAGCATTAAGCAAGCTGCGCGTGAATTAATTTCGGGACATCACTGCAGTATCTAACGCGCCTTGGTGATACGTTCTCAAACGACGCACCTCGACATTCATCTGGCTTTGGTGGACCATGGCTCGTCTCAAGGAAAGATCAAAACAAACCAGCAAGGATCTCATTACCTGGACGCGGTTTCACCTACCACAGGGGCAGGAGTGGCCAACGTGGTCTGCGGTACATGAAGATATGCATGTTGGCCCTCTCGCGGATGTGCGAGGTATACAGAGAATATCACTAGGGAGGACGGTTGAAGAGCCTCAAAAGGCTGCGTATGTCATCGGTGAGTTGGGTTTAATTGCTTCGGGTCACGATGCATGTCTGTTAACTGTGAAATTAGCCTGGGGTACCGTGGAGGACCTAGAGAAATTCCAGGATTCATCTGCCTGCGTAGAGTTTCTGCGGGATCTAACCTTGAACGACGACTCTAAAGATCCTGGTTCAGAGGACGATGCACCAACGGTAGCGTCGAGGTTTCTTACACTTGAACATGTCAACGGAATTCCCACGGGAGAATTGGAGGGCCGTATCACATTTACTGCGTACAACATACTAGGTAAAGAGGACGACGATGCTACAGTGTGGAAGCAGTACCACGAAGTGAACAACGCCCTTGGCAGCTTCTTCCCCCCTGGCTCCGACTATCTTGTACTGCATCGCCAATTTAGATGGAGGTATTTAATCATCTGGTTCTGGGTGCTGGGTGAGGACCAGTGGGTGGAAGCAAAGTTTGGGAAACGGCCCCAGAACGACGGACAGGGACGCACAATCATCTGCGACGTTCGTCTTTGGCCATCCACAGGTCTCTCGGGCGATCCTGCGCCGGAGAGCGAGGGCGCAGTTGCCAACCCGGCGGCGAGAGAGGCGTGGAATCAGGCTGTTTCCAATGTGATGCCTCCAGTCACTGCATGGGTACAGGAGCGCTGGGACGTCCGCAAAGTGCCGGGTTATCCTGCTTCCGAGGAGGATTAACCGGGAGTGCTCGCAAATAGAGGCACAAGGAGGAATTGGAACTAGGTTCCAAATCGATATGGTGCAATGGGATCATCCGGAATAGCTGGATTTGAACTTGAATCGTTCTCTCGGATCTAAGCCACCCAGTTGGTTCGTTCTTGGTTTGTTTGGGTACAGTAAACCGTTCGTTCTGCACACAAACAGGCCCCTAAAAGATGAATTGCCATATACCGCACACTATTCATTAGAATCCAACCTTAGGCATGTAAAATACACCCTCGTCGGCATCATCCATATTCTAGTTTCAGGGAAATACAGCATGTGAATGCTTTACCGTACGTATGCTACCTCACAATGCGGCTTGTCTTGTCCACACGATAATATGCTCTGTCTGCTTTGGATTCCATGCTAGTATTCATAATCCTCTAAAGCTTGATTTAGGTACTGGGTTGCTTGGCCCCAAAGATTCGGTCAGGCCCCTGAATCTCAAAGTCCCAGTTATTTGGGATTGACCAAGGCTGGCTGCCATCGGCCACACCAAACAAGTGAGTCATGTGGGCAAAGAAGAAGACGTAATTTTCAGGGTTTGTGCGTTTCTTTTGGGCGTTAAAGCTGATGCATTGGCCGAGGTCGACTGCCATTGAATCCCGAGTTAGAAAGAGGGGTCTGGACATAGGTCTGTGTGTGAGGGTGGCTGTTTTCCTTACCTTGTTCCACCTTGCCTGCTAAGAAGTAACCTCCGCGTAGGGCATGAAAAACCTCGTGAAGGAGGGTAGCACTCTTGGGCACGGCTTCGGCAAGATTCGTCCCAGCTTGAAGCAAGTTGCTCGCTTCTCTGTAGCTGTTCGGCCTCGGGCTGGTGTCAAAGGAAGAAGGGCAAAGAATGACGCTTTGAATCTCGAGGTCCACTTCAGCCTTGCCATCGGCGCCTCGCTTGAGTGGTTGGATGCCGGCGGTTAGACCGAGGCCTGTCCCCGAGCAATAGAGGCCGCCCTCGTCTGAGAAATAGTAGCCTCGCGGTGTTGCGTGGTTCCCTCCCCACCATGCGTTTCCTTCCCTCAGTCGCTTTAAGTATCCGGGTATAGCACTAATGGCGACGGGGTTGCCATTGTCATCTTTAATGTCTGTACCATCAAAGGCCTGTGCACCGTCTCCAGGATTCCGCGAATCGAGAAAGGTGCTGTCACAGTGTAACCAGTGATGGCTCCGAGGGTACTCGGAAGTTCCATCCGCCAATGTTTTCCGGGTGAAAAAATCATGGACCCATTGAATTTCTTCTGATCATTGTGTTATTAAAGTGATTTCCAGGTCTAGCCAAAGACGGCTCATGACGAATTAGGGATGGCACTGCAGTAACGCTTTGAAGAGTAGGAGAAGTGCATGAACAACATAGTCATCTACTTACGTTTGACTTGTTTGACAGCCGCAGCATCGCCTTTGCTTCTCAGTTTGACACTGAACCAAGTTGTCATGGCATCTTGAATCATCAAAGCCCTAGAGCTAAGAGCCCCTTGATCGCCTTGTTCACCTGCTTGCCCTTTTGTTTCGGCATATCGGCCTATGGCCTCCAATGCCTTCTTGATTGAGACTTCACATTCCTGACGCCAATCTTTCAGTGTGGCCATCCGATTATCGCACCCACCATTAGCAGCGGTGCCTTGAACAGTGAAGATCTCGTTGATTTCTACTGCGCTAGTAGGTGACAGGAGGGCGACGAGACATGCCACCAGGCATAGAAACCAATGAGTCCTTGCCATTTCGTGTACGTCAAAAGAGAGCCTGAGCTTGAAAGTTGACCGTCTCGATGGCAGAGGGGAGATTGAACAGACAGGGAAAAGGGTGAGGACCGAGGAGCCTGGCAGTGCCAGAAGTTGCGAGCGTGCCAGACCCAGTCCGCTGTCTCGTTATCCGAGTCCTGGTCTCGCGCTGATACAAAATCCATTGCGCCTAGAGTAGCTACAGCCTTGCCAAGAAGTCATCCGGAGAAGGAAGCCGCCCAAAAGTCCCCGGAAGATGGAAATGCGCCTGCTAGTAGATTCTTTGTAAAGTGCGTGGTATCAAAATGCTCTATGACCTTCTGATTTAGGAGATGACCTATACGCTACATGCATCTTGGTGACCGACCATTGCTCACTGTAACCATTCAGATGCATACTACACTTTACCTCAACCTTCACGTGGTGTTGAACCGGTAACATCTGACAGCTGAAGTTTAACCTGCTGACCGGAACTTCTGTGCCTTGCCCTGGTTTGCCGTTGCAATATTGAGGATGAAATAAGTAAGGCTGCAGGCAGTCAGCATCACAGCAACATTGGGGGCTGACGATGGCCTCCCGGCATGGCCTTGTTCGAAGATCTACATCAGCTGGCTAGTAAACTTACAAATGTTGAGTTCCATTAGCCCATCTCGGTAACCCTGGCCATAACACCTCGATCCATTCAGTAGCATGTGAACCCTGCTCTACGACAGTCGAGTGTTATGGCGTAGCATCAAAACAAACATACATTGATTAGATGTAGGTCACAATCTTGACTAGGATGCTAACTGTCACACAACTTTGGGATAGGGGTACCCTGCTACGTGGGGTCAGCCTTGTTGGTAGCCTGGTTGATTTAGAAGTCTAACAAACAGGCCCCTCCACGATAATATCAGGATCGGATTAGGACATGAGTCCGAACGCATATATCCCATGTCGGATTTTTAGATGTGACCCTGCCGGTAGCATTTGTGGGATGACAGAAAAGTACTTTGGACGACTAGGTTCGTATCCTGCAGCACTACCCACACTCGGTGGTATAATGCTACCCTGGTAAAGCAAGGCTACGATGATGCGGGATGAGGTCGGAACCGGTGACTTCTTCCTGAGTAGCTCCAAGGCAGCCAGACATGGGATTCGGGGGAAGAGGGTTTACAGCTGTTGCTCCTGTCTCTGGTGAAATGAGGGAGCGGCCTCGTCTCCCTTGGCCACAGCTTTCCTTGCAGTAACCTCTTTTTTTTGCACCTACCCAGTCTCATTGGAGCAAAGTAGTGCAGCAACCATGACTGCACCGAGTCTTAGTCTGTTGTTGGCGTTGCTGACCGCACAATGGAGCAGCCTCGTGTGGTCGGCCAACACAACTCGCGGCTCAAACGATACCATCGAGCTCCCTAGCTATGATCCACGGGTGAGGCCTTTGATTTCTCTTGATCTGGCCAGAAAGACGAGCGCTAACATTTCCATTGACAGCCTGCGCCGGCGTACATGGTGGACAACCAGCACAACTACTACAAGACTGCGCCAGACAAAGGAAAGCATAATGGTCCAGTATGGGCCTATTCAGGGAGCCTGGATAAGTACATGAGCAATCTTCGAGAGGGGAGAGTGGTACGCGGTGGCTATGTCGGGTCCAACAAGACCATAACCACCACTGTCACGTCCCCTTCCAACCGCTCAACGATACAGGCCACTGACTATTGGCTCAAGACTCTGGGACCGCTGGGCGCTGTGAGTTTCTGCGCATGTTGAGTGATTCAGCAGGGTTGTCGAACATGTACTGATGGGGAAACACAGCAACCGCACGCTGGTGGGAGCGACTACCAGTTCTTTCGGAATGTGGTTGATGACTTTAAAGCCGACAACGAAGGAGGGTCGGACGCGACCGAGGCGATCAACGCCGCCTCGGCCGCCTGGAACAAGGAGTCGGTCGGCGGCAGCAAGACGCGGTGCGGCGAAAAGTGCGGCAACACCTTCTCGCAGGGCGCCGTCGTCTTCTTCCCGGGCGGCACCTACAAGATCTGCTCGCCCGTGATCCAGTACTACTACACGCAGTTCGTCGGCGACCCCAACGACATGCCCATCATCAAGGGCTGCGACGAGTTCCAGGGCATCGCGCTGTTCGATGTCGATCCGTACATCCCCGGCGGGTCGGGCAAGCAGTGGTACATCAACCAGAACCAGTTCTTCCGCCACATCCGCAACTTCAGGTTCGACCTCCGCGACATGCCCGAGTCGACGGCCGAGAACGACCAGGACCTGGTGCCGACGGGCATCCACTGGCAGGTGTCGCAGGCCACGACGCTGCAGAACCTCGTCTTCGACATGCCCACCTCCAAGACCACGACCGCCGTGGGCATCTTCACCGAGAACGGCAGCGGCGGCTTCGTGTCGGACCTCACGTTCAACGGCGGCAACATTGGCTGGCGCGCGGGCTCGCAGCAGTACACGGCCCGCAACCTCGTCTTCAACAACTGCAACACGGCCGTGCAGATGGTCTGGGACTGGGGCTGGAACTGGCAGCAGGTCACGGTCAAGGGCGGCTCCATTGCCTTCAACATCTCGGGCGTCGGGGGGGACACTGGCCAGGGCATCGGCAGCGTGTCCATCATCGATTCCACCATTAGCGACGTGGACACGGGCGTCTTGACCAACAGTCTTGCCCAGTCGCCCAACATTGTCCTCGACAACACCAAGTTCACCAACGTGGCCACTCCGGTCAGGGCGGCCGGCGGAGGCACTCTCCTGTCCGGGAACTCGGACCTGTGGGCCACGGGCAAGCGATATAACGGCGACAAGGGCTCGACAGAGACCGGCACGGTGACGGCTCCAGCTAGGGGTAAAGGCCTCAATAACAAAGACGGACAGCTCTATGTGCGCTCGCGTCCGCAGTACGAAACTCTCGGTACCGGGTCCTTCTTGATCGCCACGACGGATGGAGGGTGCAAAAACGATGCCACGGGTGATCAGGCGTCCTGCATAAACAGCTTCCTGCGAAAGGCCCTGGATCAGAAAAAGGTTGCCTACTTTCCGGCCGGAGTGTACGCTGTCGGATCCACGGTCAACATCCCCACCGGCTCAGTCGTGCAGGGCACCCTGTGGTCTCAGATACTGGGGTCGGGCTTTTACTTCAGCGACATGCAGAGCCCCAAGGTCATGGTCCAGGTCGGCAACAAGGGCGAGATTGGCACCATGGAGATCACCGAGATGCTGTTCTCGGTGCGTGGTGCCACGGCTGGTGCTATCATGATGGAGTGGAACGTTGCAGCCTCCGAGCAGGGAGCAGCTGCCATGTGGGTAAGTTGTTTGTTCTCATGAGGATCTATTACACATGGACGTACGTCTTCTTCTTACAAACTCTAACCGTAATCCCTGTCTAGGACTCGCACTTTAGGGTCGGCGGAGCCATCGGCACTGACCTCGACTTGAGCAAGTGTCCCAAGTTCAGCAACAATGCCGACTGCATCGCCGCCTCGCTCATGTTCCGTGTGACGAGGCAGGCAAACGGCTACTTTGAAAACGTGTGGGCGTGGGTGAGCGACCACGACAATGACGAGTCCATCTACGACCAGCCCGACTCGAGCTCGACGCAAATCTCCATCTTTGGCGCCCGCGGCATGCTCATCGAGTCCGAGGGCCCCTCGTGGTTCTACGGCGGAGGCTCCGAGCACTCGGTACTGTACAACTACCTCCTCAGCGGGGCCAAGAGCATATACCTGGGTCACATCCAGACTGAGTCTCCCTACTACCAGCCCAACCCCAGGCCGCCGGAGCCGTTCCGCGCGGCTGCCTCGTTCCCCAATGACCCCAACTTCAGCGAGTGCGAGATCGTGGCCGATGTCTGGGATGATCGCTGCAACTACGCCTGGGGCATGCAGATTGTCAACTCCCAAGACGTCATGATACACTCGGCCGGGCTGTACAGCTTCTTCAACGAGTATTATCAGGACTGTATCCCCACCCACAACTGCCAGGACCGCATCCTCGAGGTCAAGGGCTCGACCGGCGTCGTCATCTTCAACCTGTTCACAGTGGCTACTATCAACATAGCCAGCGGTATCGACGACACCAATGTTCCCCAGGCAGACAACCAGCGTGGCTTCACCACAGAGGTCAGTGTCTGGGTGCCGCTTCCCGGGTTTGATCACCTCGACATCGTGTGGGTTGGCACAGAGGTCTGGGACTCGCCCACGGTGAGCTGCCCAAGCAAGTCTTGCCAGCTCATCATCCCAACCAGGTCGGTGGGGTCAACTACCATCCGGCCCAGCAGCTTCACAACCTCGCTCGAGTATGGAGGCTTCTCCAGCACCACGATTGGCGGCGTGGGAACCACCGTCTTTGAGACCTCGACCACGACCGTGACCATTTCTGTTCCCTCTGTCGTAACCGACGGCATCGGACACTCCAATGTCAACGTGACATCGTCTGGCGCAGTGCCCATCACCGTCTTCCCAAGCGTGGACCTTGACCCTGTTGTGGTGACGCTGCCCGACGGCCAAGGCAGTTCAACAGACAGAACTATCACCCTGCCGCCCTGGCCTCAGATTGAGGGCGGTCCATCCATGAGCTATACAGACCCAGCCACCCTGCCATCCAACAGTGGCTCTGGCCCGGCCACCAGCACGACATACTATACTCCCATCACCAGCCGCATCACAGTAGGCGGGGCCACGGTGACGACGGTCACGTTCCCGGGCTCGACCGCGGCCATCACCGTCCACTGCCCGACCGAGACGTCCATTGTCTTTGCGACACCCCGGATTGCCGTCGGCACAACATGTACTGACGAAGCTGACCGCACGCTCAACTTTGCCTGTCCGACGACCCGCGTCTTCACCTTCCTCGGGCCCGCGACTGCTGTGGCCACCGTCGACTGTTCGCTGGTCACGGCCTGGAAGACCGGCTCTGCCGATCCCACCCCTGATCCGCTTCCTGTGTTCACGCGCTGGCCATCTTACGGCCATATCGAGCCCGAGGAGCAGGAGCGTGACAAGCCCGAGCCTGACGACGACGGTGTGCACGTGCCCTGCGCGTCCTGGTTCTTCTTCTTCTGCATCTCGTGGGGACAGGTGCGTGTGCGTTCCTGGTACTGGATCCTGCCGCCGGGCATCTACGGGCCGATGCCTCCCCCGATCAACATCATCCGGCCCCCGCCCGGCGTCACCTTGCGTGGGAACCTGCCCAACTGGCCCAAGTTCACCATCGGGCCGGACCGCCAGCTTACGACCGAGTCGGAGCGCGAGTGTGAGAAGCAGACGGCCGAGGCCTGCACGACGACCAACTACGTGTCGGACGGCACAACGACGTCGTCAACGACGCTGTGTGAAACCATCACCGGCTGCTCCACCACCGTGTCTGATGAAACCACGGATGTCGTCGGGGACCAGACAGCGGCCCCCATCGGCACCTGGGGAGACGAGCTCTGGGCAACGCAGACGCTTGGCGAAGACTACACTCGCCAGGTCTTCGCCGCTCTCAGATCAGAAATGAACCGCGAGAAGAGCAGCGCCGGCGGGACGACCATCTCCTCGACCTCAGGTCCGACCGCAGGACCAACATGCCGTGGCGGAACCACGGCCTGCGGTGGCACCATCTGCTCGGGCTACTGGTGCCAGCCCACCCCGACCGGCCCTCCGCCCGGCTTTCGTGATCCCAAAGACCCCAACTCGGACGACTACACGGCGCCCACGACCACCGTCTCAAGCAGCACCTCCTCCACCACCCCCAACGACCCCAAGCCCACTACGCCGCTGGAGCGAGGCCCAATCCAGTGCTTTGACGAGGCCGATTTCCCGGGCCACGGGGACATCAACCCCGACTCTCAAGATGACTTCTCCCAAGAGTTCAGCAACCTGCGAGGCGGTGTGGCAGACGACTCCATCGGGCCTGACTCTTCACCCTGGGAGCTCCGCAAGAAGGACGGCCACGGCATCAACTACTGGTTCAAGGCCGAGTGGGTTACCGGCTGCGTCACCACCGTCGACAAGCAGAGCTTTGGCTTCCCGCTCGGCTCGCCCAGCCTAATCACCGCGTACCTGCTGGTTCGAGAGGACTTTACAAAGTGTGAGTTGTCTTCAGGACACTACCTTTTTCTACTTTTCCACGAGCAAGAAACGAACAAACTAATGTCTTCCAGGCAATAACCAGGGAGTCGGCGGCACATGCCAGGTTGGATGTCTCAAGTATACATTTGAGGGTGGCCGCGGTGATGCTGAGGAAGATCCCTGCAAGGACTTTGACTGTCGGCAGTGTGGAGCGCCGTTTGAGGTCCCTGAGTGTCAGACCTGTTGTACATGAAGAGGCAAACAGTCGCCAGATACGTCTATTTTAGATTCAATAATGACATGTTCTCAACCATATTCATTCCACATTGTACTAAACTGAAGTGTATAATTATCAACTCCTTTCTACTATCTCAGACTTCTAGGCACCAGTCACAGGTTGCAAAGCATCCATACTTTAGCCCGAAAGAGACTGAGGATATGTGATAGCTATAGGGTCTTTTAGAAAAAAAGTCCATCTCGTTGCTGGTTAGCTGTTGGGGCAGGTATGACCCGAGCCATGCAACGCCAAGTCAAACATGATGCCAGATCGGTTGCTCTGATTACATCTTTAGCGTACTCCGTCACTATGAGCCCAAAACTCATCAGAGTATCTTCCATCAGTACCTGGTTGTCGACTCCTCCACCTCTGTCTCGCAAACATCTGCCAAATATCGATCAAATTTGTTTGCAAGAGTGATTCTCTTCTTCAGGTGAGCAAACGTCATCTTCTTGTTCATATACTTGGCTAGTCGACGGCCTGTCGTAATCGAATTTCAAATTGCCGCCCGTTCATAGGATACTCTGCCAGCTCGTTGATATGCAGCCGGATATCATCAAAATCGATGCTCACATCTTCTACGAGATCTTCCAGTCTACGGAAGAAATTGCGCCAGATTTGCTTGTGCTAGCGATCTTCCAGTGTGTAATACCGCAACGCTAGCTGGATGCGGGATTTGAAAGCCTCATCAAAACTGCCAACGCGATTTGTTGTGAGCATCAAGATGCCATCATAGTGTTCCAGAGATCTCAGGAAACCGACACGAGAGCATTCCGTTCGAGATCCTGCAAGGAGCGCTGTTCAAGAAACACCTCAGCTTTATCGAGAAGCACAACACAATTCCAGATTTTCCCGAGATAAAAGACTGAGCGAAGTTATTTCTCCACTTGCTCTGGCTTTATGCTAATGTCTCCATATATTACAGAATACAGTAGCTTCTTTATATATTATTTATTTCTTCCACTATAATAAAAGTTATTCTAAAATTAAGCTATATATATAACTTTAGTTATATAATTTTTTAAAAAATAATTTAAAGAATTTAAATAAAATAGCTAATATATTATAATAGTAGGTATAATATTAAGTAATTTAATTCTTAATATTTAGGAATTTCTTTTTTTTAATAACTACTATATAACTATAGAGCTCTTTTACCTACTAATTATTATTAATAAAATAGTTTTTAATTATTTATAACTTTAATTAAAATATTCTTAATTATATATTTATAAAAGGTTTTTATATAAATATTATTTTTATATTAAAAAGTAATTAAAGATTAAAATAATAATTATTTTTTAATACTTAAGGTTAAATTATTATAGATATTTATTATTATTTATAAGAATAAATAAAGTAATTTATAATAATATTAATATAAAGAGAGGAAGGGATTAGAGGAGATAGTGTTTATAAAAATACTCCTAAGATTTTAAAATATAACAGAAGAGAATATAGTAAGAGACATTAATAAATAACACTGGGAATAGCCTCATAGACATATACAAGTGTTCTTGCAGGCACGTAATTCTGAATGCAAAACAGGGTGAGCCAAGGATCCCATCACACCGACTCTCCCAGTCGCAACCACCTCCCCGAAAGACAACAGTCATCCGACGAGAACCTCAGAGTTGTGGGCTCCGTGCGGTATACTATTCGTACCTTGAGCATACACTCATCCAATCATTGCATCGTCGGTGAGCAACATCCCAGCTACACTCGCCGAAGTGAGCGTGGCGATGATACCAGACACAAGAGCCGAGACAGCTACACGTGAGATGGCGCCTGAACGACCGGGCGCAATCTGAGACAATACTCCAATCTGCGTTCCAAGCGAACCAATGTTTCCAAAGCCCTACACCACGTCAAACACGTTAGTATACCACTATGACCACAACACAACGCAGTCCTTGCATGACTTACACAGCATGCATAAGTAGCTAACAGCCTTGTGCGGCTATTCATGCTGATAAACGGCTCATCATGGGACAGGGCAGAGAAGGCGACAAACTCGTTTGCCACGATTTTAAGGCGAGGAGTTCTCCGAAAGCTCGAAGATCCTGGGACGGGACTCCAAGGAGCCAGGCGACGGGATACATGAGATATCCTAGAACAAGTTGTAGAGTGAGTTCTGTCTCTGTTAAGTTCCAGTATTTGCCCCACCAGGTCAAGAAGCCGTTGACCAGGGCCACGAAGGAGATGATACAGAGGAGGGTAGTAACAATCATCCCAGCAATCTTGAGACCGAGCCATGCACCGTTGGCAAAATCATGCAAGGCATTCGAAGCCTTGTCCTCTTCAACTTCCGGAACGACAATGTATCCAGACGTTAGAGGCTCCTCTGTCTCAGGATATCGCATCTTAGAGATAGCAAGGGAAGCCGGGATAGACATGATACAAGAGGAGACTAATGCTTGTGGGTTAAGGCCGAGGCCAATATAGGCAACGAGCATAGATCCTGAGATTGTTGCAAAGCCACAGGTCATGACCTGGTGGATTTCGGCATGGGTTAGATAGGGGATGAACGGACGAATAAGCATAGCCGACTCTCCTTGTCCGACAAAGGGTGTAGAGGCCGCGACGACGGCCTCAGCCCCAGACACTCTAAGTATCCAGAAGAAGAATCTTCCAAGCTTCTTAATAAACCATTGTAATATACCGAAGTGGTAGAGCAACGTAACAAGAGACACAAAAAAGATGATGGGAGGTACGACACCGATCAAGAACCACGGTAGTGATGCGACTGACTCGCTAGTCAGGAAAACGACGCCGTCTGAAGCAAAAGTGAGTAGCGTCCGTGCCATCGAGGAGATGAAAGCAAAAATATCGTAGCCAGGCTTTGTCTTCAAGACGAACAAAGCGATGACGAATTGGGTAAGCATGCCGCCGATGACTGTATGCCATTGAATCCTCTTGCGGTCTCGGGAGGTCGCGTAAAGTCCAGCGATCATGACGACGAGTCCGAATAGAGATATGGCTCTACTAGGACGCGTGTTGACACCCGTCTCAGCAGGGATGAAAGTGGCTGTCAAGAAGACTGCAACGGTGAAAGCCGCAGCGGCTGGTTGGCGGAATTTGGAAGGAATGACATCATACACCCGCCGGAAAGTATACGCCCAGGCAACTCGGACAGGTGCCCAGAACGTTTCGATAGGAATCCACCAGAAGATGAAACGCAGAGTGACGGCCAGATAAAGTAGGAACGGGATGAGCCATCCAAGTGCATCGGATCGATGGAAAACTAGCCCATGTATCCACCACCTGCGAAGTATGAGCATGGTCCGCTTTGCCCACATAGAAAGATTTGAAACGGTGACATTTGCTACTTACGCCGTCCAGACCATCCAGAACAGAATGTGGAAGCCGAGTCGGTACTTGCTGTAAAAGCGACCGATGGCTCTGCTCTTGCCTCCGCCTCTGTCCTGGTTCGGATCGTCGATAGCGCTAGGCTCCCCGAGGGAAACATCCACATGCTCCTCTGCAATGCTTTTCTTGGATATGGCACCGTCCGAGGCTTTGTGAATATCGGGGTGGATGGGATGAGAATCCAAGGTCTGTTGTGACGTGTCACCAGGTTGAGGGTCTCTCGGGGGTTCCATGGCAACCAATGAGAACAAGAAAAGGCCGAGATAGTCCGATAGTGCAGAATGAAGGTCGACTCGAACAAATGTGTTGTTTGATCTGAGGGATGGGTCTTCTTCATCTGGGTTGCGGGACAAAGGTTGGTGGCTTTTTATGTAAATCGAGCGCACAAGGCTGTCAGCCACGAGCTCCCATGGGGACCCCGCGTCTCCCTTCTTATTGTGGGATTCGGAATTATGGTTCAATTTTACGGCAAACATGACTCGAGCAGCTAACTAGCAAAGTATGGGTGGATCTCGGTTGTAAATCCGAACAACGGCGATAAAAACGAGTGCTTGCCGAGTAACAAACAAGTGAGACACATACATGAACTGCTTTATTGAACGATGAAAACAAATTACACTTCAGCAGCTTTAAATCAAGATGAGTGCTTGGTACAGAACCCCTTCTCTTCGTCGAGGGGACATAGCTTAAGTTTGTTCCAGGTATCGACGCGGTCTCTTCAGGGCTCCTCTGGCCAAGCAGAGCCTCACAACTGCTGTCTTATTTGCCACAGGCGACCTCACTGCTCAACAATTGATTGAAAGAAAGGGCCTCGAAGAGCATGATATCGCAAGGACTAGTCGTATGATGCTTTACGGAGGGGGTAAGTCGACAACTTGACTTTGAAACGAAGGTCTTTGGACATTCAACTGACGCTCTTCAACACAGCCATCTTTGGACCTGCAGCCTTCCAATGGTACAGATTTCTCAACTCTAGAGTAATAATCTCCTCCAGTCCGGCAAAACAGACACTGTGTCGCGTAGCTTGTGATCAGCTGATTTTTGCCCCAACATTCACGGGGGTGTTCCTCGTCAGCATGGCGCTTTTCGAAGGCAAGAGCCCAGAAGCGGAGCTATCAAAGAGTTATTACTCGGCGCTAAAGACAAACTACATGGTCTGGCCCGCGGTACAGGTTTTGAACTTCAGATTCATACCCTTACAGTTTCAGCTGGTGGTGGTGAATGTGATTAGTATCGGCTGGAATGCCTTTCTTAGCCTCCTCAGTAGCTCTAGCACTGATGTGTATCAGCAAGCAATGGCGGCTTAGCATTGCACCGAGACTGAGGCGCCGGCGAACAAGAACAAGTGGATGACGCGGAAGCAACTTTAACCATATAGCGTGGGATCAGTGATCGCAGGCGTGAGAGGTGCATTGCAAATTAATAGACTTGCGAGTTAGCACAACTACTTCGTATATTATACTCGACCTCTGACGTCTTTGTTTTTCTTCGCACTACCAGCTCCAGAACTTGGCTTTGGACCGCGAATGTTGAACCGACTGTGATACTGTTGAGCTGAATGAGTGAGGTGATGTTGTTCTGTAAGATTGTAAGTAATATCCGCTAATAACTTCTAGTCTATAGCCGCTTCTCTTAGTGGCTCTAGCGTGGTATATAGTAAAAGATACTATCAAGGTAGCTCTTTTTAAATCTACCCTACTATACTACATATTCTAAGATTAAGAAACTAGAAATAATAAATTATATAAATAAAAAAAAATATAATAAAAATAATTAATTTATATATTTTTCTTAAAAGTTAAATTATAATTTATATTTTAGTCTTTTTAATATTATAAAAACTTTTAAAATTACATATTTAGCTTAAGTATAAATATAATATCTCTTTAAAGTAAGTAAGAGAGCTACATGGCCTTATTTTCATCCTTGACGAAAGCGGCGCATTTGTGGCTTTCGGTCTGCGAATTATTACATGAAGCCACGCTCCAACAATACCCACCGCTCAGAGGCTGGAACGGATTCGTGCGTCGGGCCAAGGAGGTTGGCGTCGGAAATACAAGTCGGATTTGAAGGCTGGTGGGTGAGTGAGCTTTGAATGATGGAACCTCCCGGAGCTACGGAATTATTCTACTCCAAGGACTTATCCTGCTGCAGATCAACCACTATTTGACTGCATTTTTATTGGCTTCTCAAGCCCAGTTCGGTCCTGCATTCTCCCAAGGTGATTATTACACCCGCCGATTTTGTTTCTTGCTCTTGTCCACCCGCCATGATTTCCGCTCTCACTGCCCGAGCCTGTCGCCGCTTGAGCTTCTCGCGTGCTCCCGGAAGGACTCTCAGACATGTGGGAGCCCTGAGCCTCTCTAGCCCCAGGCACTATTCGGTAGATTCTCATGCTGGTTTAAGGAGTATTCTTAAGGTATCGGAAGAAGTGCAGGATGCCATCGCTACCAACAAACCAGTCGTAGCCCTCGAATCGACGATTTACACACATGGAGCCATTGATGACCTGGGCCTGGAAGACATTGTTCGTCGCAATGGCGGCGTCCCAGCTGTGTGTGGTATCTTTGCCGGTGTACCGACGGTCGGATTGTTGCCCCATGAGATTAGTCGCATGGTCAGCGAAAAGGCACACAAGGTTTCCCGAAGGGACATTGCTACCCTTACGGGCAAGGTAGGCGAGACTGAGTGGTCTTGTTTCTATTGCGGCACGAGAAGAAACACAATTCTAATAACTTATAGGGCCTGTTAGGAGTCAACGAACATGGCGGCACCACCATCTCTGGCACGATGGTTTTGGCTAAGCTCGCCGGTATTCGTGTCTTTGCCACAGGGGGCCTTGGAGGTGTTCATCGCGGTGCCGAAGACTCGATGGACATTTCCGCCGACCTGACTGAGCTGGGACGAACACGCGTAGCTGTCGTGGCATCCGGATGCAAGGGCTTCCTAGACATTCAGCGAACTCTCGAATATCTCGAGACGCATGGCGTCGTTGTTTCGACGTTTCTCCGCGGCCGTCAGCCAGACAAAGTTACTTTCCCGGGCTTCTGGTCTGTCGAGAGCGGCCTCAAGACACCCTCGACTATTCGCAATGAGGAGGAGGCGGCGTCCATCATTCTAGCGCAGGAGAAGCTGCAGATCGAGTCGGGCTTGTTGTTTGCCAACCCTGTCCCGGAGACGTACTCGATCCCCAACGCCGAGATGGACGCCATAATTGAGCAAGCTGTCGCCGAATCTGCGCGCCGCAATGCCTCCGGAAACGAAAACACGCCCTTCATCCTCAAGCGGATTCGAGAGTTGACCTATGGGAAAAGTGTGGCGGCCAACCTCGCCCTGGTACAGTCCAACACCGAGAGCGCTACTAAAATTGCGGTATCCCTTGCAAAGATGTTGGAGCAAAGCAAATAGTAAGGGCACTGCTTGTTTATTATGTCCCCAAATTGTACGTTTAAATTAGTTCACACGGCCTGACTTCGGAGAAAGTAGTGCCGCTTCTCGATCAATGCCAGTCCTTTCGACGTCCGTCTCATCACTGTCTGAGCGCCAGGTACGAATCACAGGTGCATATAACAAAACCTTATATACATAGGGCATCTTTACCTCCTACGTAGTCCATGTAAGATGCTAATCATAATTGGAACCTACCAGATGTCGCTCCTACAGGCTGATATCCTGGTGGCGGGTTCTGTTGCTATAGACGTGACGTGCGATTACACGGGGATGGATAGTGATACAGCACCACAGCCACATCTCCATACATCCAATCCGGGCCGAGTCTCTCAGCTAGTCGGGGGAGTTGGCCGAAATGTCGCACTTGCTGCCTACAGGGTCAGCTCTGGTTCCGGGGTGAGGTTCTGCAGTGTCGTCGCCAACGATAAGTAAGTATCCTCAGCGTAGCCAGTTAACGATCTCCCTGGCCATTTGACCACGCCACTAATCGTTTTCCCGTCACGGATAACAGTGCTGGAACCTCAGTCATTGCCTCATTAGCATCGTTGGGCATGGATGTCTCGTGCATACGGAAGTTGGACGCATCCATCAACGAGGACCTCAGGACAGCCGAGTACATTGCCATCAACGGATCTGACAAGAACCTGTTCTTGGCCGTGGCTGACATGAACATCTTCACCTCTAGCGCCATCCCGGACGATTGGGAGCATATTATTGGCCAATCCAAGCCGAAATGGGTGGTTGTGGACGCCAACTGGAATGCGTCTGGCATTGCTTCGATAACAAGAGCAGCCAAAAAAAGCGATGCAAGCGTGGCTTTTGAGCCTGTCTCCCAGGTCAAATCCGAAAGGTTGTTCGACGGGGTTAGTAAGCTTGGGGTGTTCCCTCGCCAGAGCATCGACCTTTCCACGCCGAATCATTACGAACTGGGCTCGATGTACAAGGCTGCCAAGCAGAATGGCTACCTTGAGGGTCGAACATGGTCGTCTTGTTACGATGCGATCAACTCACCAGACTTGGATGCCAACTTGAGAGAGCTAGCATCCAAGCGTAGACTAGAGATTGATGTTCTGCGGCAAGCGATAAAGCTCTTGCCTTATATTCCCACCTTGATCACTAAGCTGGGACATGACGGAGCAGTCCTGGCTCAGATCCTTCCCAAGGGGGACAGCAGGCTGGCTGATCCAGACGAGAGCCAGTACGTGTTCAAGGCGGCTGGTGCGAGTGAATCTGGCGGCGTCTACCTCCGCTTCTACCCCCCGGCGGAGAGTGTCAAGGATGCAGTCTCGGTAAATGGGGTAGGCGACACTTTCTTAGGCATTCTGATCGCAGGGTTAGCAGCTGGAGGGCGGATTGACAGGCTGATTGACGTGGCACAGAAGGGTGCTGTCATGACGCTGCGAAGCCCCGAATCTGTCAGTCCCCACCTGGGCGACCTCAGCAGGGCCGTGTTGGAAGCAGCATCTTCTAAATAAGTAGTCGAAGAAAGAAACCGAAATTCAATGTGAGTTTGTGGTCATCGCATTGCAAATTGTCATGGAGCCGCTTTAGGTACCTAGTGTAGAATAGGGATCGTTGAAGCTTACCAGTGCTTGCAAAATATCCATTAACTCTAGTGTAGCAGTTTCCAAAAGCTTACAAGTAAAAGTAAGACTATTAGTTACTCTATAAAAATTTTACAAGCTTTTACGGAAGAGAAAGAGAATCAAGTTTCATAGTAATAGAGGCTATTAGAATATATGCCTATAATTATATTAATTAAGAGGTTATATCTACTAGGATTCTAATCCTCTAAGCCTTCTAGAGGGTATTTATATATAGTTTACTATTCATTGTGTTGAGTTGTTGGGCTCTGGCAGCTTCCATTGCTGTTGAGCTTTATTCTCTTTCTCTTACATACGCATGCTAATAACAATGATGTTATCCACGTACATGTACTTGGAGTTGGCGCACAGGCCACTATGGGCACCCGGAATTAGTGTCCTCCGGCTACGGAAGCAGCGGAGGTCTGCTTTCATTATTATTCCCTTTCCCGAGCATCCCAGCTTGACCCTCTGCATTGTCCTGCTCGTCCCGGAGGGTTCACCCCAATGGCTCCAGCATCTGCCCGAACCAAGAATCCGAAGGCGTGCGAGCCATGCCGCCGGCGCAAGGTCCGGTGCGACGGCAACGAGCCTTGCAGCAACTGCACCCACGACCCGTCCACGTGCTTGTACCGCCTGAAGGCCCGTCATCGAAGCATCCAGTCGCGGCCCGCAGAGGGCGGCTGTGCACGGCCGCCAACAGTCCCTCCAGGCAGCCCTCCTCGGCCAAGGGGGGTAGAGGTGCGAGAGCGGACGTTGCCCGCTCAGTCCCCAGATGTCGTGCGTGCCTCTGCCACGTCGCGCCAAGGGCCGAGCCAAGGGCCGAGCCCGCAGCTCTATGAGTGTGTCGCCGCTACCCATCTGTCTCCCCGGTCTACCGACAGCTCACAGCTGTTCTACGGGCCTTCATCCAGCTTTGCGTTTCTGAAGCAAGTCCACCGGACGGTCCTGGCCATCCGATCAAGAAGAGGATCTGCCCAAGCGGACACTCATCCTCACGCAGACGCTGCTCCCATTTCAGGAGAGGACGATGCCGGCCTCGACGTTTTCATGCAGCGAAACATCTTTTTCGGCGTGCCACTGAAGGCGGACCCTGTTACCTCTCCATTGGGCTTGTCCGAAAGCATTGCTGGTCTGATCGAGAGACCTCTGGCCGCAGCGTTTCTCGCTGATTATAAGGCTGGCAGCTACCGTTTCCTCCCGGTCTCACCAACGTCATCATATGACGCCCTACTCGACGAGGGATATCAAGATAACGGGGTTCTAGACCAACTACCTCTGAGAAGGTCCTTGCTGCTGCTCGTTTTGGCCATCGGCGCTCTGCAATCCACCTCCCACGCCGGACTTGCCGACAAGATATTCCTGGAAGCCAAGCATCATATGACAGCCTATGAAGATGCAGTGGCAATTCCCACGATACAGCTATCACTGCTCATGGCTGAATATCAGATCAACATGGGTCGACCGAGCATCGCTTATCTGCATGTCGGTAGCGCGTGCCGCAAAGGGATGGCTATGGGCCTGGCGCATATCATCGGGGGCTATTCGTATGAACACGCCCAAGAACGCAGTGCTACTCTGTGGTCCCTATATTTCTACGAAAGGTGGGCGCTTTATTGTGGCGGATTCTGACAAACCAACTGACAATTTGGAACGGATAGCTGGCTGGCACTGATAATAGGGAGGAGAAGTATGATTAGAAGGGAAGACGTAGGATGGCCTTACCCTGAAGCACAACCGCTCCTGACCAACCTCTGCCGTGCAGGCGAAATTATGGAGGACCTTACGGAGTCGTTATACAACCGTAAGACCGACACTCTTGAAACCCTTCACGACAAAGCACAAGCTCTTTACCGGCGTCTCCAGCAATGGGGTGACACTTTGGGAATCGGATCATCAAGTGTTCCCCGACAAGACACATTCGATGATCCGACCGTGACCCTTTTCTTACACAACGGTAAGACCTTGACTAGAGCGCGGTGCAGTGTTAGGTACAAGTGAACAGGCTGACCATGAACAAGTCTATTTTCAACTCAAACACACAATCTTTCGACCTTTTTTGGTCACAGAAACGGTCCTACATCAAAATGGTAACGAAAAGGTGGCAAGCGAGCTTTGGCTTCGTCAAGCGTGTAGAAACGCGACAGACGCAGCAATCGATTCCATCATCTTCACGGATTCAATGCTTGGGGCAGTGGACTTTGGAAAGGTCAGCTACGCGTGTGAATGAGCCCATTTAATTGACGGATAGCATCCCATGTTAATGCAACAGCTCTAGGTTCGCCGCCACGACTCGTTTTTTATGGAAGCAAGCAGCATTGTCCTTCTCTTCGACTCTCTCCGCCACCCGACCAAGCACGCCAACAACCTCATCTACATCAACATGGCCCTCGGTTGCCTGCGAGCTATGGTTCAGGATGATCCCGTTACCAGCGTTTCTCGTTCAATCTCCCGCATTGTGAGTGTCGTTCAAAATGCAATCGGGGGCGATGTCGGCTCGCCGCCTCTGGCGGATGGCGTAACGGGGACGCTGCCATTGGCTCTTCATGCCGCACCACAGCATTCACGGCTCAACACAAACATGCAAAATCCATCGGTAGAGAATTTAGAACCGACCTATGGCACATCGGGGCTTACCTCTCCACCTGGACATCATCAGACACTGGACCAAGATTCCTCTGTCAGCCCGTTTCTGCCATGGTCCGCTTTCCAGTCCATACTGGCCACAACGGAGGCGAATTCACAGTTTGACCTCTTGACGACAGACTTGTCAAGCCACTTCCCTATTGACTTGAATATGAGCCTGGATGACGATGCACACTGAGATCTTTAGGGTCGGAAGTCGGAAAGATGAGAAACACTACTGTACTGTTATAGGTGTCAAGTCCCTTGCCTGTTGGTTCTCTTTTAAGATCTTAGGATATAACGTTCGTGCGCTTTTGACAAATGCCACGCGTGTGTGTGACTTAAGGCAGTTTCTTAGGACTGTTATTTGCCCACTACCACTGATATAAAGATGTTACGGCCCTCTCCACACACCCACCCCCCTCTGGAGATAAGTCCATAATAACTGTTTCCGCCGCACATGTTGCCAGCAACAGTAACGTCCCATCGTGGTCATAGTTCTGCTGTGACGCTTGGCGAGACGACGCCGCTCTCGGAGGCATCAAGTGATCCGAAGCAAGGTAAAACGCCGCTCTTGCCACCAAAGCCCCTCGTATGTCTCAGCCCAGTTGATGATGAAGCTGGGATAAGGTATCAATCAACCCGGTTTTCCGGCACCCAGAGCACATGAGTTTATTCCGGACACCCTTAAAAATATCAGTTAGTTGCTACACGCGGGATTATGCCGCTCAAGCCGGTCAGATTTATCGATTTTAGACCAATCGGAACGGCTATAGGTCGTATCTGGTCGCACCTATCCGAGTGCCCGACAAATGGCAAAAAATAACACCTGAGCACAGTCCTAACTACATAGTCAATCATATTATACATACTGTATCTCCTATAACACGGGCTCTTAGTGCCTAATGCTCTGAGGGCTGAATTGATAGCGCTCTTTGGACAGCTAGATCGCGTACACATAAGGACCCTAACTTAGGTGGTACTATCAATTACATGACAGTCGCGGATATCACTACTGCATCGGCTTCACAAATTTCATTCGCACGGTAGGGTGAAATCAACCGATGGCAATGGTATCGTTTCACAGAATGTATTCATGCAGGTAAAGTGATGCCGTATCTATGATAATCAAACTCCTCCAGGCTAGGCAGATATTCCGCCATCCCATCACCATAGTTACCAGTCGGGCCGGCTTCCTCACAGCCCGCCTCACCCATCCTGCCCGCCAGGATCTCTCCCTCGGCTCCCTCGAAGGCTGCCTTAAGCTCGGGATGAGGGCACCATACCACCCTCATCCCGGCTCGTCGCGCAGCCTCGACCCCGGGGATGCTATCCTCGAACACGAGGCATTCAATGGGGTTGATGGGGCGTTCTCCCTTTGAAAGGCCGCCATTGATTAGACGCAGTGCCAAGAGGTAGATGTCTGGAAAGGGTTTGCCTCTGCCTGAAGCCACCCGCTCGTCATCGCCAAGCACCCTCCGATAGGGTGCAAAGACAGAAAACATCGCTTGCAAGTTCCTCGTCTTCAACTCAAAGTTGGAGGTGGTACTACTCGTCGCTAGCGCAACATGCACACGATGCGAGGAGGGACCCTTCTTGGTGTCGTCTTGTGATGGAGCTCCTTCTCCTTCTCCTTCTCCTTTTTCTCCATTGATGGGCTTCTTCCACAACTGTGTTCGTCCCAGATTGGACAGCAGGTTGACGACTCCGGGAAGAGGCTCGGCAAGCGGAAAGTATTGATTGTGGAGCTCAGAGAGCTGCGAACCAAATTCCTCAGCAGAGATGGGCAGTTGAGCCCAATCATGGAAAATAGCTGACGCGGCCGGTCCGGGGCGCCCCATCATCTTGGCCTTGATGTACCATGGGAGTGGTTCTCGTCCATACTGGCTCAAGATTTTGTTGGTACAGAGAGTATACAAGTCCTCGGTGTTAAGGAGCAGACCGTCCATGTCGAACAAACATGCTCGAATAGGAGGAAGGCTAGACATGCATCTCTTAGCCGCGGTCAAGCCTAAGGAGCGAGCGAGAACTGGCTTACCTTGATGTGGCTGCCATATCTAGTGAGTTTGGGAAAATTAATTGGAAGTCGCAGTTGATACCCAGGTTAAAGACCAAAATATGTAACAATGGTCGTGTTGTCGGATTTCACTGGCTTTGGTAGAAGTTGCTGTTGTACACATATAGATAACCGGATTTACGGATTTGACTACATTCGGAACTACACCATCACCATTTGATCCAGCCATCCATTCTTTTCGCAATTAGTGTCACGTAAATTAATTCCTTCATTACCCGGTCGCTTGACGTGTCAAAAATTCTACGCGGACACCAAAGGAGTCAGCTTCCCCAGGGGCACTACGAACACCATGTCATTCATACTCAAGATGAACCACGCATGCCGCCGCACAAATGCCCTATTGAGCGGCTCCAGGCTCAACGCCAAGATATGTAACCGCCAAGTTCTTGTCTCGCGGTGCCTCACGACGTCAAATCGCCGTGCGCCATCACCATTCGCTTTCGTTTTCGAGTAAGTCATGGGCAGGTATATTGCCTGAGCTGCCTGGTTAACTTCGTGGTGCAGCATTGACGGAGTTCTCCTGCATGAGTCAAGGCCAATCCCCGGGGCTACCGAAACATTGGAGTTTCTTCAAAAAGAACATATTCCATTCATCCTGCTCACCAATGGCGGTGGCAAACATGAGACCGAACGAGTGCAAGAGCTAAGCAAGAGGCTTCAGGTCCAGCTATCCACGAATAACTTCATTCAATCGCACACTCCTTTCAGACAGCTGGCTAGTGATTTGCAAAATAAGAACGTTTTAGTGACGGGCTCCAATGCCGAAAAGATCCGGGGGATTGCTAAGCAGTATGGCTTCAAAAATGTCATCACGCCTGCCGACATCCTGAGATCCTACCCCGATATCTGGCCGTTTGAACCGCCTCTGGACTTTTCCTCCGGGAGAGTGCTGTCCCAAAAAGACCTCAAGATTGACGGGATATTTGTTTATAACGATCCACGCGACTGGGCATTTGATATTCAGCTAATAGTAGACCTGCTCTTATCGGAGAATGGGGTGCTAGGTACTTTGTCTGCAAGCAACGGGAGAAGGGATTTGCCAAACAACGGATGGCAGTTAGATGGGCAGCCTTCCATCTTCTTTTCCAATCCAGACTTATACTGGAGTACGGCGTATCACTTGCCTCGCTTTGGTCAAGGTGCTTTTCAAGGTGCCCTCTCAGGCGTGTGGAAACAGGTCACGGGAGGGCAGGAGCTGAAATGTCACATTATTGGGAAACCGCATCACCACACCTTTGAATATGCCGAGCGCGTATTGAACGACCACAGGACCACCATGATCGGAACGTCGGCAGGGATCGGCAGCCTGCAGACGGTTTACATGGTAGGAGATAACCCGGAGAGTGATATTCGGGGAGCCAATAGGTACAAGAGCGCCCATGGCACCAAGTGGAATTCGATTCTAGTTAAGACGGGTGTTTGGGACCAGGAACGTGGCAATCCAACGTGTGTACCAGATGCGATAGCTGACAATGTTTCGGCTGCAGTGAAGTGGGCGGTGGAGCGGGAGAACTGGCGATCTTCGTAGATAGATTTTGCAATGGCGCAATGCTCGATTTACCAAGAATACTCGTGCACTGCCCAGATTCAGCAGTTGTAGAGCTCCACCACCGCAAAGAGGCCTTTCTTCCTAGCCAGAGCGAGTAACAATGAACGAAAAGGCTTAGGATACATGTGCCCAAGGAATTAGCATGTCCCCAAATCCGGGTCGGAGATGAGCTCCCGACTCCGTATTCCCGCCATAGTAACTTATCGTAGACTGCTGGGCTCAAGCTTTGCGCGCTCTAATTACATAGTAATTACATCAAGCCGAGTGCAAAACCTCAAAGTGATAATAGTAAATCCAAGCTTGCCCATATCGACATCTTCATTTCCAACAGCAGTTTCACCGTGAAGGTATACCCAAGATGCTTATGCGAGGCCATCACATCCAGCTGCGAAGACTTTCAAGATGCAGCGCCTCGCAACATGCGCTCCTCGGGGTTGCGATTGGCCAGTATTACCCAACTTCCGCATTCAAGCTTAATCACAACGGCAATGGTCGTAACTCGAGCCCACTCAAGACCCTGATGCAGACTAACCATCTACCAATAACTCCCTTCCATAACTTTCATTCCAAGAGGATGGGGTCTACCAGAACCAACTCAGCCACTGTGGAGTCGGCGAAGCAGGCTGCTGCAAAACGTGCCGTGGATGGCCATCTTAGTTCCGAGCATCGGTGGGTTGGCATCGGGTCTGGAAGCACTATCGTCTACCTCGTTGATACGATCTCGAAATGGGAAAAGGGCCTGACTGACCGCATGAAGTTCGTCCCCACGGGAGAGCAATCGCGACTACTTATTGAAGCTGCCGGTCTTCGCCTGGGCAGCCTATCCCAACTTCCTCGAGATGAACTGTTGGACGTCTGCTTTGACGGGGCTGATGAGATTGATCGGGACCTCAACTTAATCAAAGGCGGAGGGGCTTGCCTGCTGCAGGAGAAGGTTGTGGCAACTGCATCGAAGAAATTCATTTGTGTCGCAGGTCGGTTCAATCTTCAAATTCGGTTGCTTCAAAGTCGAGTCTGGTGCTGACCCGTGCGTTCTTCCTCGCAAAGACTACCGCAAATCCTCAGATTGGCTGTGCAGCAACTGGAGGCAGGGAGTCCCCATAGAAGTGTTGCCGTCCGCTGCAAGCCGCGTGCTGGCAGAGCTGCGCCGGCTTGGCTCGATCAATCCAAGCATCCGCCAGGGCGGCACGCAGAAGGCAGGACCAGTCGTGACGGACAACAGCATGTGGATCATCGACGCACCCTTTCCTGCGCTTGCGGCAGAGACGGGCACGTCAAATTCCAATGCGGATCCAAATAATTGTCTCCGATGGACATCTGGAGCGCTTGCTCGTCGCCTCATCCGCATACCAGGGATCATCGAAACAGGGCTATTCACAGGGCATGACAACTACGGAGGCCGGGGCGGAGCTGAGAGGCCGGTTGCTGTGTATCTTGGGCTGGCAGACGGCGGTGTCGAGGTCTTCGAGGCATGACATAACACTAAGGGTGCTTCGCGACTGGCTATACTTAACACATGTCTTACGGGGAAAAAGGTTAAGGAAGCAATTGTCCTCAAACAAAGATTTTACAAGTGGACGCTATACGTATACGCGGGACAACACTCTCCAACCACCCTGAGAGTCATTTGGAGTTGGCGTCCCAGCTTAGTATTGATTACACTGCATGCATGATAAATAAATAATCAACACACTGTCAGCCATTCCCCAGAGCTTCCAGCATTGATCGAAGGCGCTCCATTCACAAAAACCCCGGATTCTAAAGTCGCTCTTCTGATTGGTGTATCAGAGGGATAGTGTGCCAGGTTTTCCAAGCTCCTCATCAGCGTTAACAAGTCTGTAGAACGGAGCTGGGGCGTTGGTATAAATGAATTGCGTTCGTATTGTGATTGAGCCTTTCCTGATTGACGCAATGACGTTGTATCGGCTGATGACATTTCGCTATTATAATTTCGACCCGATAAAGGAAGAGGATTCCTACATGCTCCCATCGCCCATTCAAGTTTGGAGTAAGGCTGACTGCCAATGCTGGTGTTTCTAGTCAAAGCCCCCTGTGGCGATCCAAATTTCGCTGCTAGAAATGGTGTTACACGTCGCGCGCCCACTTCGCTTGTAGGATTGGCCTGTTCCTGCGAGCCTTGAGAAGCCTTTGCTTGTTTTGTTGCTCTAGGAGCATCAGTTGCAGTTCATAGTCTTGGCGCACGAGTGTGGTGCCAGAAGATACTCGATCAAGGACGGACTTGTAACCGGCGGGGTTGTTTTCGGAATCTGCAGACTCCTCTATTATCGCTGTGAAGGGGACCTTTACTCTCAAGTCAGCAATACAGGATGTCGGTATTGACGTCCTTCACACTCTGACTCAGTCGAATGTAACGACGTTATGGGCTTTGACTAGCATCGATAGGCCCAGATCCAAGTCTACGATGGCAACAACAACCCTAATACAATATCTCGTTCATCAAGCACTCCAGCTGAAAAATACCGTGCAGACCGAGAAAATTTTATCATTACGCTACATGCAGTATCAATCGGCCAACACATCTAGCGAATGGTTCCAGTTCCTCATCCACCTTCTTTCGGGCCTCAAGGGACATGTTTACTTGATTCTGGATCTCGCGGCCGTGCAGTCTACATCTCCACTTCTTGATAGCAAGGACTTCTCATTGATCCAGGGGCTCTGCCAACTAGTTCAATCATGTGGAAATCAACCGAACACCGCGAAGATCAAGATTCTACTGCTTGTCTATGAGGTAGAATGGGATAAATTCATTCGTCAGGATATGCCTGGATCAGAGAAGGAGACCAATAAAACGAGTTCCAGGCAGAGCAAAAAAACAGATACTTCCTATGTTTAAACAATAAAGAAGAAAAACGAATCGAAGTCGTAATTCCAAACTGTTTTCATATATGGCCATTTGAAAAGAAAACGGACAGCCAGATGAATTTGTGCTTCCTCCGAGCAGCCTGGCTTCCAGCAGACCAGCCTTCCTTATAGCAAGCCGTAGAATCTAATAGTTTCCTCCAATGTCCCATTCAGCGTAAGGCCAAGTCCAGCTTGCTCAAACGGACAGTGAGCATCATCATTCGTGGGTGGTAGACCCGTCTGGAAGTACGCAGCGATCTTGGAGAGGGCGCACAAGTTCTGAGTAGCGCTGGTGCCATGCTGCAATGAGGTCAAGTGTCAGGGTGTGGCATTTCCAAGCCTGTCATGGGGCTTTACTTACACCTAAGCCGTCTACTATCAGTGCCTGAGCATTTTTGAACTTGCTCGATCCGGCCAGTGCGCTTGCAATTGATTATAATTAGCCACAGTTGAAAATAGTAGGGAAATAGATGGTAGACTCACTTCTCATATGGTGTCACTGGATCGAAGGTATTGCCAACGAAGAGAATAGGGTTGGCCGTATCGCCGCCGAATGGCCCCTGAAAGGTCTCTGTGGCCTGGATGGACCATCCCAAGCACCCAAGCATGGACTGTATCCAGATGTCTCCTACAATGCTTTGCGCCTCGAGATATTGCAGTAGCGGTCGTAGGTCCTCGAGAGTTTTGCCGAACCACCTGTTCTGCATATCGGAACAGAGTACGCCGGAAATGTATTGGTAGTTCTCGCTCCCGTCAACGCCTGGATCTCCGTATAGTTGATGAGCGCTGTCTATCCACGCACCGAGGTTCTTATTTGCGAGGGCCGTTTCAAGACTAACTAGCACATCAGGAAGGACTTTGAAATTATCGGCGGGATAATTTGCCAAAGACAAAAGGCCGATTTTTAGTAGGAGTAAGGCGGAATCGATCTCAGTAGCATTTGACCAATTATTCTCTGCCGCGCCCCGAGCTTCAAGCTGAGCCATTGTGTTATCAAAGCGACGTTGGATATCCTTTGGCGTGGACCCCGTATGAAATGAGCAGTCTCCGGGTCCCACCTGTGAGCAGTGGATGAAGAAGGTAGAGATGACGCCATCGAGATGGGTAACGCTGCTCCAGGTGTAGTTGGCAACATAGCCTTCCGGCGATACGACGCCGTCAAGAACAACATGGCCTACCCGATCCGGGAACATGGAAGCGACCGTCTGTCCAAGAAACGTGCCGTAACTGACCCCATAGTAGTTGAGCAAGTTGGCAGGCTTGGCGGCGATCTTACCTTCGTGGGTCATGGCAAATGCGTCAACAATGCTGAGCATGTCTCGAGCAGTCGTGGCCGTGGACATGTGAGTTCCCGCACCGAGAGGCCCCCCAACTTCATGCTGACAGTTTCTACCAAGATCGATTCCATAGTCGATCCACGACTGGTAATACTCGTCTGACACGCGAGGGATAGTTCGTGCTTTATAATTGTTGCCTGGCGAAGAGGGTGTGGAGGTGCAATTGGCGACAGGCTGACTGTTGTGGATTCCTCGAGGGTCGAAGCCGACATAATCGAAATTATTTCCAATAGCCGCCTGTATAATAGTCCATGTTAGGCCGGCCTTCATGGTTTGATATCAATGGTTTGAGAGGTGCTTGAAGCAGTACTGACTTGGAGAGTGGACCCGTAGCTGAGGACCATCTCGACTCCGGAGTGTCCTGGGCCACCAGGATTGAGAAGTATCATGCCTTGGTATGCTCCAGAGCTTGATTGAGCCTCTGCGGGGTATTTGACCAGTGGAATCACAGCTTCCCCGAGCTCGGGATTCTGGTAGTCAAGCGGCACCTACACGTTAAAGTCAGCATGCAACGAGAAATTGGCTGGCGTTCTCAGCAAACCTTCAGTTTTGCACAAAAAAACTTGTCGGAACAAGGGCACCATAGCAGTTCTCTGGAAGGCACAGTAGTATCGAGAGTGCAATTCGAATAATTTATATGGTCCTTTGCAGAACCATAGTTCGATAGGCCGAGCAGGGCCAGGACAACAGTAAGCCGCATAGCTGAGGACTTGGTAAAGGACAAAGACTAGCTCAACTTTGGTTTAATTATTGGACACGTAGTTGTTGCACTCTTCATCTTGACAGCAAGTTTGGAGATACCAGCTTGTTCTTATAGTAATCTCAAAGCTTTAGCGTCTTTTGAGAGTATAGATTTTACATGGTCCATACGAGGTGCCCAAACATTAGAAATATTAATGCGATCCGAAACTGAAGAATAGTCTGCACATCAGTAACAAGAAGAGCACACTAAAGTTGCAGGGTCCATACGAGCGGCCCAACCGCTTTTCTTACTTCCAAGGGGACGTCTAGATCTTGCTGTTTTAGTGCCGGAAGGCAGCACAAGCATGTCTTGAAGGTCAATTGGTGCTTATAGGGTAGTGAGAAGGCGGATCAGAGCATTTTCGCAGTTTCAGTTTCAGACAGGGCAAGGTCCATACGAGGCGTCTATTTATAGGTACGTATGGAGTTGATTTCATCCCGACCCGGTATTGTCTGTGTGCCTGAACATAACCACACTAAAGAGGCAGGGTCCCTACGAGCTGCCCAATCAAAGCAGTTGCTTTCACTTGCCACGGCTGTTTGAGAAATCATCTAACTTGCTAAATGTGGAATATAATCTTCGTGGAGCAAACTCCACTTCAAGCGCCAGGTGCAGTTGTACAGAACCCCTGTTTCTCCCTTTTCTCTTTTTCTACTTACTCCTGGAATATCTTTTGCTCATGACCCCTGATTCATAAGCTTGGGTCTCACTCTCATTATGCAGCTTTTGACAACAAACAAAGCCATAGCATACCGTACGTAGGCTTGATACCAACGGCTTTTCAACCATTGCAGGTCCATACGAGAGGCGTCCACATCGATTTGAAGTCTCGGAGACTATTTTCTGGCCACGGCCCCCGCGCAATTGCAAAACCCCCACGCAGACTATTCGCCAAATGCCCAAAGTTGCCAAAGGGAAGAGGAAGCGGGCTTATCGCCCAAAGACAAGGTCCGGCTGTCTAACTTGCAAAGGTCAAAATGGACCTCGCGGGGACACCCACTGGAGATTCATAGCTGACACTATCACAGCTCGACGAGTCAAATGTGACGAGGCCCGTCCAGTGTGCGCACGATGCACATCAGGTCAAAGGACTTGCGACGGCTACGCAGAAAGTCCACCACTAATTTCCTGGGCAGCAGAACGCATGTTGACAATGAGTACAAACCGGCCTGACGGAGTCGACTTTTGCACTCCATCCCAAACATCATTCGACTTCTTCATCCAAAACACGAGTCGCCATTTCGCAGGGTTCTTTCCGTCGCCTTTTTGGGAGAGGCATGTTCCACAGGCTGCCCATCGCGAACCGGCACTATGGCACGCTGTAGTAGCCATTGGCTCTCTTCATAAGCATCAGGTCTTTCGTCCGGGCCAACCGTGTACATTCGCGCTGAAGCAATACAACCTCGCTATCAAGGCTTTGCTGAAACCTAAAGCGTTATATGGTCGAGGCTCGAGGCTTGATGTGTGCCTCATTGCTTGTATATTGTTTACTCACTTTGAAGTATGTGTCCCCGAAACGTGCGCTGCTTTACGTTATGTGCTTATTCATAGAACTAGAACATGCAAAACCACCACCCGGCCGCGAAAATACATATATTATGTGGTTCAAAGCTATTGACGGAAATTGTATACGATAGAAAAAATGGTGAGATGCAGCATGCGGCGCTTGGAAAGGTGTCTAGCATTAATAGTTATGCTCCTTTTGAAGACTGTGCATCTTTCTTTGCTGGATTAAATATCGATGCTGCAATGGTAAGCCATATGGAAACCCAACGCAAAGAGTACGCTGCTAACGCCATTGGTACAGATCATGCGCGACTACAGGGTCGAAGAGTTCGAGCATGCCGTTTTCCGTGGTGTGGACCTTGATGAGACATTCCGGCTTCAAAGTATCGAAGAGGCGAAGAGGCGTTTCGATTACGGGCACCACTCACTTATAGCCAGCAATTTTTGGGCAAACCAACAATCTCGGGGCAAGCATGTTACGGTTGTGGCCGACCAACCTGCCTATATACTGCGCTTGACAACAAGATTCGTGGCAAGCCTAGATGAGCTGATGAGCACCAAAGGTATGGTTTTGACCGTACGAGACAGCATTTCGGTCGCCGTCCTCAGATTGCACGTTTTGTATGCGCGGGTCTCTTCGATGTACGCCAACTCACCAACCCCAAAATGCGAGAGTGATGACAGCACAGTGGTTTCTCTGATGCGAGAGATGGTAGAATGGGGCGAAAAGATTGTGTCCTTTCTCCTCAGCATAACAACCCAAGTAGCGAGATCCTACTGTTTGGGCATGGGCTACATTATACCATTATTCACAGTGGCAAGCAAATGCCCCGATAGAAGCCTCCGCCGAGCCTCTATTCGTCTTCTCAGCTCAATATCGCGTCAAGAGGGCCTTTGGAACAGTATCGTCGTAGCACGAGCAGCCGAGAGGATCACAGAGATCGAGGAGAGCCATGGTGTTTTTCTGAGTGGGGTTATCGATGAGGATATCGTCGAATCGCGTCCTATTGACGGGCCAAGTGTTCTGCAAATCGACGGTATTGGGGTCCGCTTGCAGTATACCTCTCACAGTTCGGCTGACAGTATTAGTGGTAAAACGGTAGAGGAATTATTTACATGGAAGATAGGTGAATTGAACTGATGTTCGGTTTTCTTGGAAGAAGGTTCGAGTATAAAGTTAAAAAACAACGAAGATGCTAGACCCGACATCTCAACATGTATGATCTACCTTTAACCCTGATCTTATTTAGACGACCCTACAAATTTCTTGACCATTCTTCCATCGATGAGACATGCTGTGGCGGGTTTGACCCTTCTTCATTTCAAAGTTCCCTCACATGTTCTTCTTCCTTCTTCGCAAATTTGTGTTTCTTGGCGGTCACTGTATGCTCGCCTTTGAGAGGCGACACGATAGAATATCCTTTGTTAGTCCCATATTTCTTCACAGCTGTAATCAGGTACTGCGGTGTCATGAGACCGTCATCAGAGAAGAGCAGGTAGGGTCTCTCTCGGCGGAAAAAGTCGGTAGAAGTACCGTCCGTCCAATCGACTTCGGTGGAGAATGCGAGTGTGCGTTCGTTAAATGTCCATGGTCCCCAAAAGTACCTTGCAAACGCATGTCTTCCCACTTTGGGGCCCTCGCCGAAACCGCCTCCCAGCTCCAGAGAATGAAGGAGCATGTGGTAGTGGCCGCCCTTGTCTCGCCAAATGAATGGGTCATCGTTGGCCTCTGTGAAGATGGGCGCCTCCTGTAGCTTGACATATGGGCCCCTGAATTCCTCGGCAACGGCGATGTTGATGAGCTCTGAATCAGGGGCGCCACTGCAGTTGTAGCGACATCCGCGGTAGGCGAGCACGACTCCCTTGGAAGGGGGAAGGTCAATGTGACAAAGGGCAGACGCCGACGGATTCGTCACATCAGCATCCCACTGTGTGGTGCTGTCGGAGCCCGTCAAAACGAACCCTTGACTCCTCTTGTGCCGCTATTTGGGAACCAACCGTGTATTCAGAGCCGACTTTGAGAAACAATTAACCTGTGATCCTGAGGCTATCTCCACCATCATCCTATCTACGCATAATCTGGCTTTGGCTAGCCTCAGTCAAAAGCCCATTCTTTGATCGCAGACGTTGTATCATCTGTCCGATGGTAGGGATTCGGTCATGTTTTCGATGCAAAACATCCAAATCAAATCCATGAAGATTTCTGACCATGCGATGCCAGCCGATTCGAGCATCTCTGCTTAGCCGCCCTCCCCATGAGCTCTCGAAGCGGATCTTGAATTTCCGGTCTTCAATCTCGTAAAGAAAAACACACTGGTGCTCCCGAGAAAAATCCCAAAGCTCCATCAATACAAGCTTTGGCATTTTCCCAGCAGCAGTAGCCGCCGTTGTGATCAATAAGTTGAAAGAGTCTGGACTCAGCATCTTCGACGTTAGAGATAGTTGTGTGAGGTTGGACCATTTGAAACGCTCTTTGGCCCATTCGCTGAGGATACTGTCCTTCCAAAAGGCATGGAAAAAGTCTTTAGCATCAACGATGTGGGCGACGTGTAGTCGCGTAAACTGTCTACTGGTCACACTCAGATGCTCCCCAAGTGCTGGATTGGCGATTCTTCGTCCAAAGTCCGGGCAGTACCAAGGCTGGCTTGATTCATAAACACTCACTTGCTTCAGTGTGCTGCTACGGGACTCGAATGCGTCGAGGAGTAGATGAGCATGCTCTTGATCCCTTATGTCACTCCCAGGGACGTTGGTGTCCATAACTCCTTGCCAAGGTTCGTAGTTAAGCCTCTTGAGACAAACAAGACTTTCAATGATAGGCCCGAGCCCCGTAGATACTGAGAAATGTCGACAACACTGCCTTCGGATCGTCAAGGTTGTGACGACGGGGACATTTGGCAGCTTACCGTCTGGAGACATACTGTTGAAAGCTGTTAAGAGAACGCTATCTAATTCGAGGCCATACGGGTGCCCAAACAGCCGCAACTTTGTGCCACAGCTGAGCTTTTTCTGCCGCCCCTGGCGCCAACCGTGAAACTCATCCGTGTGGCTGGCCAGGCTGCCGGGGCGATCTGGAAATTTCCATCTTGTATGACTTTTCATTCGCGCCAAATTTGGAAAAGAGTGTCGAGTATCGCTGGGCGAATGGGCGCTTAGTTCGAGTTCAATCTCAGCGTGGGAAGTGGACATTTGAGCCAGTAACAAAAACAGGATTATAACAGGGCTAGTGAATTGAACATTATCGGCGATTTGCTCCCTTCTGGACTTCGCTTTTTTGCATCGCGTACAATCATACCGAGGGAGTTCTATCCGTAGCCAGATCCACCTTGTGTGATTGAGTGGACGTCTGCTGGACTGTATCAAGTCGGATAGAACACGGAGGTCGTTTTGATGAATGATGAGGTGTGAAAAGTTGGTGGCCTCGAAGAAGGTGCACCATTCCCGACAAATAGCAGGATACACGGATTGCCGGTCAAGACGGCTTGCGTTCTCTTTGTGTCGCGTTGCCGGGTCTTTGTACTCCCGACTCTTGAAATCTTGCAGCTCGCGTAGGATAGCAAGCCGCAGTTCTGCTGGAAGAATAAACCAAGACATGGCGTTCTCTGAGGCAAGTTCTGCGACCAAGAGCCGTAGATGCTTCCAAATTTTAACGAATATGGATGACAATGGAAGAGAAAATAAAGATGGGATGACTTCGGAATTTGAAAGAAGAGCAAGTTCTGCGTGAGGAAACGAAGTATTTGTGGCTGCGTGCCACCACCCACACAGTTTGGTACGCTCGAAGTTTATATCAAGCTCGACAAAATCTGTGTCAAGGTTTTGATGCGTAGTCAGTTTTAATGCCACCTATCTCCCCCTGATGCGGCGTTAACCTTTCTTAGGCATTAAACCTTCTTTCAGTTTGACTCACCAGAATACGTATAGCCGCTGAATAAACAACAAATCTAGTGCCATCCTTCAAGCTTGACAAAGGAGCATTTCATTTGTACAAAGGGGAATACAGATGGGGCAAACTTAACTTTAATCTAAAGCGGATATACCGTACGGGAGAGAAACGTGAGACTTTCTCTAATCTCTTTAAAGCCTTAAACACAGTAAAAGGCATATATGAAACACAAGCAAACACAAAAAGAATTCCTGCCAAGGATACCCATATATCGTTTAAACTCCGAGAAACAATTTTGTGCAGAGACTATTCATTGTGTTGAGATGTCGGGTTTGGCATCTTTCATGGCTATTTTAATATACTCAAACTCTGTTCCATGCGCCGAGACAACAGAGACAGGTATCAGCCACACTCAACACAACATTGAGCATTCAGACTTACGGCGACAAATTACTCCACGCTACATTCAGCCGACATCTCCAATGATGGAAAAATCGCCTGGAATTACCATCACCGTCGTTATCCATATTGAGAACATATTTGGCTTCTTATCGACGTTGGCTTTCTCTCCCAGTACTGTCCATTCCTCAGCGACATACATATTTAAAATATATTTTAAGGGCTAAAGGATTCATTGTATTGAGATGTCGGGGCTGGTATCTTCATTGCTGTTTCTTACTTTGTATTCGAACACTCTCATCCAGATTGAGAGCTAAATAATATTCTTGAACTTTATCTTAAGTAATGCTTATCTAGAGTAAGAGTTGATAAAAGAGGTATTAAAGATATATTTTAGATAGAGAGACAGGCTGGAAACCAAAGGGCTGGTAGGTAGGATAGATTAGGTCAACTAGGTAACTATAGCTCGGTTGTCTACTTTTGAAACTACCATAATGTTTTCCTTGACCATGACTCTGAATAGAGGAAAACAGTCTTGAAATCCTTCTTGGCAAGGTAAACCCGGGGCCACACTCGAGAGGGCGAGCCATCCAAGACTCTAGAGCGTTGTAATAGTAAGGAAAGAGTGAATGTTTGAAACGCAGTGCAGTTTAGAGTTAGAAGGAAGTGTACTTCCTGCCATATAGATGTTTACACACAGAAAGGTACTCGAGGCACAACTTCCCCGAATACCGTTGAAGTCAGGTAGGCTCGATGGATATTAATCCATAAAGAAAGTTTAGGTTTGTGATGAATCGAAGAATGTTTTCTAGGCTGGACTTGTAAAGATTACTTCCCATACTACACCATACTACACTGAAGAAATGCCAACAACCATGACTTCACGACGACCAAATCGCGCTGTCGCTTCAAGCGACCATCTACAACATCGCCGTGCTCGCCGGCGTTACCTGCGTGCCCAATTTCGGCTTGCCCGCCGACTTCGTCGGCCAACAACACCACCACCGCCGCCATCACCACAATCACCATCACCACAGGCCGCTGGGTCTGTCAGTCCTTGTTCGGAGTCCGTCCCCTCCCTTACTTGGAGCGGAGACAGTATCAGCGACGAAAGCGGGTCGCTGAGCCCATCAGAATCCCGTGACTGGGAGCAGCTGCGGGCCCGCGTTCGAAGGGCCTATGTTGATCATGAAAATCGGCAAGCCGAGGATGCTGCTGCAGAGCCGGAGCCAGAAGAAGATGAAGGGGAGGACGAGGACGAAGATGAAGAGGAGGAGGAGTATGAAGAAGCTCCCTTGTCGGACGAAGACTGGGATGACTTCCAAGCCCGCATAAACGCGCGAGCAAATGAATAAGTGTAAAGTCACTTTTTGATGCGTTTTCAATATACAGGTTAAACTTGTAAACTAACCCAGATTTTAGTTACGTCGTATCGAGATTGATTTTCTATTCCTAGTAGGTATCAAGCCTTCAATACCCCTGAAATGGTCAAGTTACTCACAGCAGTATTTCGCAGGCATCTATTACAAGCATTCTTAAACCCGCCCATTGGGTCGGCCTCCACGCGGCGGGCGGGGGTAACCTCCGGAGCGATTACCGGAGGGCTAACGACCCAGAATTAGAATTGTGTCCCGGTTGCGAGGCTCCAACATGATTGTTGGTGGTTCCATTTGTGATCATGCACCGTCGTCCCACCTCGACAAGTTCACGCACTGGACCATCGTGTGCAGTTAACGTTTTGATAAACGAACCATCTTCTTCTCACTCTCGGTTGACAAAAGAAAACAGCAGAGTAACTTTATGACTAAAGCAGTTAGGTTGAGAAAGTAGAACCAGATCAAAAGAGCTTAGGTTTTTTAATACCCTGAAAATATAGGCTTTTGGGATGAACAAGGCGCTATGGTTGGACGAGTAAGGCAACACGTAGTATCTAAATATCTCTATCACACTATGTACCAACACTATGGTCAACATAGCTATCACCCATACTACGTTAGATTAAGACCAACTCTTTGTTGAAGGAATGATATGCCGAAGATTTACTCTCCAAGGGTGTTCATTGACCTTGTTCTACACAGATTGATAATGCTAGTTAACTGTAAGAGTATTTTCCTCATAATCCTAAGAGCCCTCTGAGATTTTAAATCCCGAACTATCTTTTGAGCGCAAATTACATCGTGAAAATGATTTATTTGAGATCAGAGGTCTCTTTTCAAGTCACAGAACTCATTAATTGAGAAGATAATATATGATACACGCCCCTAGTTATGATCTCTTTAATTTCATATACGCTATTGGCCTTAAAACTTGCTCTATTGCATTGTTAAAGGATATCCGTAAGGCCTGTTTAACTCAAAAGTCAACACGCCAAGATTATCTCTAGATGTAGAGGAACAACAGAACTCCATAGCCAATAATATTTGATGCTTAATAAAATGCATTCCAATTGCTAGCACCCGAAAGTCTTGGGCGTGTAGTAACCCAGAACACTTAGTCTCCTTTGGGCACAATGCTTGCCACACATTAAGTATATGCCGGGGGATGATATCGCGAATCGTCCTGCGAGTATGTTACATCTTCCGTCCTGTAGGCTTTTGCAGTTTCCATCTGTGCAAATTGGGGATTGAGGTGCTGTGCCGGAGGATATCCTGGATCCTCTTGTAGATAGTCTTCATCATTGCCCGCGTAGGCCTGACGGCGAGCATATCGTCGATCGTCATATACTACATCGTCTGCTCTGTAAGGTATTGAAGTCGTCGCCCTTGGTAATGGCGGATTGGGTTGCTGCATTGCGGGATATCTGGGATCGTAATTATATCCATATAGGTGTTGATTCGGTGGTGGTGGCATCGCCTGATATGAAGATTGGACAGGCGAATCCCTCCAAATGCGTGGACCAATGAATGCTTTTCTTGGAGACCGTCGTCCCGCACTGTTCATTCTGTTCTCGGTATCTTCGAAAGTAACCGTCTTTGAGTATTTCACAGGCAAAGGTCCAGATGTAGGTAGATCATCGAAAACATTTGAAGTAGTTACGCTGTTTCTCCATGCCTCAATGTCTTGAGCTACTAAGCCATGGAGATAAGTGGAATCTCCATTCGAGCCATTATCCACAGAGAAGACATCAGGCATGTGACTCAAATGTGCTCTGAACATTATCTGGCCGCCATTGAAGGTATTGGCTTTCAAAGAGGATATGTAATGTGTGCGATGATCGTTTAGTCTAGCGGGATTTAGTGTCAGTATCCTCATTCTAGTTCGGATAGGCGACCCCCTCCGCTCGAAACTTACGTTGCGTTTCTTGTCAGGATATCTGTGTTCACTCTTGTGGGAGGCCTTGTGGGAGGCCTTGTGGGAGGCTCCACGTAATTCGTGGTGTTGGATCTTCGTCTATGAGGCACAGCTTTGGCTGTCACCCTTTTCTTCTTCTTCTTCCTGAGGGGCCGGATAAAGTGTTTAGCATTTGCTCCTTCGCCTTCCGACTCAGTATTGGGGCCGTGACTTTCCCAGTCGTCACCCTCATTATCGCTCTCGTTATCGTCGGTCGCTAAGTCCCAGTCGGCCCTCTGTTTGTGTTTCGGTGTTTCCACGTAGGCACGCGTCAATGCTTCCAAGTAGGCACGCTTCAATTTAGATCGATTGAAGGATGAGGTTTTATTGCTTCGAGTTCGTCCACTATTCCCACAAGGGGATTTGTGATTTTTTTTATCCTTACTCTCTGGATTTTGGAGGCATTCGAAGCACGAGGTATGTTTACACGCTGGGCAACAAACTAGCCAGCCTTTCGTCCTCGAGTCTTTGACCAAGTATACTGGTTCAAATCGACGTTTGCAATTATGATGTCCACAACGAACTAGCGGTTTCCGAGTAATATTGGTGCCGGACTCAATGGAGAGGCCAATCTCGTTTGGGAGTGTCCAGGCGATTTTGTTTGAGCAACAGCTTGGTGGGAATGCCTGAGAGCTAGCCGCTGCGTGTCTCAACGACCACGAGATACATTGGACGCAATGCCAATGGCCGCAAGGGCCTTGTGCTCCGGACGTGGACTCGGGTACAGAGCGTTTGCATGCGTAACAGATGCTAATAGAGAGAAACATTAGTCTTCTCATCGTCGAGAAGAGTAGGCTGGCTCTCCTTACCGTGTCTTTGAGCCCGCGCTCATTCGTTCCCTAGGACCTGATGATTCCACAACGTCCGTCACTCTGTGAAGCCTTATACAGATTCCACGGCCTTCCTGTAGGCTCCAAAACGATTCTTGGTCTCGAAGGCTTCGCAAGAGTGGCAGATGGCTCCTCGGCTGGAGGTTCCAGAAGCTCCAGACCTTCACGTCTGCCACGGGGTCGGAAGCGTCGGTTTCTGACTCATATTCCGGCACTGATTCTTCGCTCTCGTTTTCCTCGGACTCTGTCCTGTTCCCGTCTTCATCAAGGACAACCTTGGCATCCGCATGTAACGGCAATGGGCAATCGGACGCCGAATCATCCGTGGCGTCTTCGACAGATGGTGGCTCATATTTTTGAGCTGGGACTACTTTAACGGTTTCAGGCTGAAGGGTTTCGGCTTGACTTGCCATGCCTTCGTTGGCACCGTCGCCATTACACGTCTCCTCGTTGTCATTGTCATTAGTATCATTTTCATTAGTAGTTTCAACATATGAATCGCTTTCTGAAGTGCTCAAACGGTCCACTCCGCGATCGCCAACGTCATTCACATTGGTTGTCCATGTAGCTGAGGCTTTAGAGAAGTCTGTATAGAGGAGTTTGTGTGACAATCCTTCACTTCTGTATTTCGTTAGAGTTCAGAGCACCATTTCATCGTCAGGGTTTCGCGTGCCATGTATCAGCACATCGAAGCATGCGGCAGCTTACCTTGAATCCGTCATCACGTCCTCCGGTTTCATGGTTAACGGCTCGGCCAACCATGCAAGAGTAGTTGTTGCCGCCACCAACGGCCTAGACTCTGGGTTCGCAGCCAGCAGGGCCTTGACAAAATCCTTGGCCTTTTCTGATGCATTGTTCTTTTCCAGGGCCTCAATCGGAAACTCACCCATCCCCATGGCATACATGACGATGTCGGTGGCATTATCAAACGCCATCTTATTTGTGAGTATATAGTATGTCACCGCACCCAAGGACCAGATGTCGACCGCGAACGTGTACGAGCCCCCCTGCCCTCCTGTCTTCACGCCGAGCACTTCGGGGGCCGCGAAACCGAGGGTGCCTCGCTGTAATGTATGCAAGGTGGTGACACCTTTTTGTCGGCGTTTGCTGATACCAAAGTCGGCGATTTTGACGAACCAGTCTGGGCCTTTTCCTACAACCATGATATTCTATAATCGAATCTTAGCCTGCTGTTATTCCTTGGTAATGAGATCGCCTCTGATTTGTCTTACCCCGGGTTTTAGATCTCGATGGACGAAACCGTTGTCGTGCATGAAGTGGAGGCCTTCCAACACTTGTCCCGTGATTTGCCTAGCTTCAGACTCTGGGAGCGGTCGACTCAGATACTTCTGCAAGTCGCCATGCTCTATATATTCCATCGCGATGTATATTGAATCTCCCTCCTCGAACCATCCGTCGGATCGTACAAAACAGTGGGAATACTGCCGAGTTCCTAGTCAGCTTCTTGTCCCCGAGGTGTAAATGCATGGCAGCGTACTCACATTGCGATGTGAGAATTTGATAATAGCTTCTAGTTCCCTGATATAATCCAATGGCTCGCCGCCGACCACGGATTTGCTGATCTGCTTGACGGCTCTGAGGGTCTGCGACGTGCCGGCCTGACTGCACCGGCGTTCCTTGTAGACGATGCCGTATGCGCCCTTTCCTAGAATGACATCGCGATCCCAGCATTCTGTCCTCCGTCTCTGTCGCTCTTGGGGAGTGCGACCCGGCTCGTAAAACACATGTTCGATTCTATTGCCCGTGACAGACGTTTCGATCTTGGAGTCGTGGACGAGGTCGGGAATCTGCTCGTGGCGCGGCATCGTTGCCGCCGATGTTGAGGGGAACTCGCGTGCGCTGGCGCAACGGCAGCCGGATTGTCAATCCTAGAGTCTCGCGGGATGCTCATCGAATCGAACTCCGCCTGCTCACATAAGTCATGGAGCCGACTGTCGCGACGCTAGGGAGAGGTATACGCTTGGTCGCCAGCAATCGAGCCAGCACAATCGTTAGAGATGTTGAATGATGAGAGACCGGATGACGATTAATCTGACAAAAAGAGCAGCAGTCCCGTTGCACCCTGGGCGGGGTCGATATCTTTTTCAGCTCACGTCCTATCCCCATCAGCGGGGCTGAGTCTGCATACAGTCTGGCTGAGCCACACCACAAGGCACATCTAGAAGGCGGAACTTGAGGTTTACTACGGACTAATTCATGCTGATCTATAAACTTAGGTAAAGACCCGAGAAGTCAGTTAATGTCCGAAGGGCTTCGTCTATACCCATTCGCTCGCGAAAAGCTTTAGCATCTAGAGTCTTTTGTCTAGAAAGCCACACAGGCCCGCTGTTATGATCAATAATGCTTAATCATGTGTGGTTCGCATGGCCAGTCAATGGTTCGCCAAGGCAACTTTGAAAAGCTACGAGGAACCCCGGTCTTTCTATGCACCAAGTTGTCTGGGTCGGTGGTGATCGGCAAACGCTGGTTACTGCAGACAAAGTTTTTGGGTTTTGTCTTTCATTATTAATGCCGAGCGTAGTATTTGCATTTTTGGCGTTCCCAAGCTGCTTCTCTGTTCTGGCTATATGCCCATTGATATAAGGTACCCCATGGTAGCTTTTTACGGGAAAGATAAAGTAAAAAGTCAATATTCGAGCGGTAAGTACTCATAAAAGGGACACCCTGTGACTATGACACATGGCATCTAGATTAAGGAAAAGAATGATTTGTCCACAACTAAGATTGTCCTTTGTCCGGGCCGCTCGCATAAGCTTCCTCCCTATTTCTGTTCAGAACCCTCTCCAGCGACTATCTCAACAGTTCTATAACTACCTAATCGCTTACCAAGTAGAGTTCCCGAGGCTGTCGTAAAGAGTTCACATACAGGAGCGCCAGGATGCCCAGACTCATAGATTTCTTGGTCGTCGGCGATTGTTTGATACTTGAGACGTCTCACTCTCGCATTGGAGCTTCCAGGACTCCGGGTAGGTGTTGTTAGAGACGCAAGGTGTACGACCACCAACCTCAGGTGTCAATCCACACCCAAGGACAAGCTGAGATTCCTGGCCGTGCCTGGACGGGGCGAATTCTTAAAGAACGTCGGTTCCGGGCATGTTGAAAGCTCAGAAGCTGGCCTTCATATCTACTTCTGGGGAGTGAAGTCCGAACCAAGTCTAGCAAGTGGGCGAGCCATTGTAGAGGATCTAACCGCGATACCATGTTACTGAGCTTGCTGGATCAATCCCGACAGCTCTATTTTTCAGCGTCAAGGTCCCTGTGGTTTGACAACCGGGGACTCCCACTGGGCAGGGAACCTAGCGAGGTTAAAGGTTTGGAAGGATCTGGATGCTTCCCCCTAGGCCTAGCTCAGAGCCAGAAATATACATTAATCTTATGTTAGACCAACTATGTCTTAGGAACCTTAATCAGGCGAAATCCTACTTCCATATGTAGTAATTGACATTATTTAATAGTACATTATATTCTATAAGATATAATAGCTGTTAGAGAAAACGCTTATGCAGTAAAGGATGAGTACAGAAATTCGTGAGTACTTTAGGCGTTACCCCATGGAGTAGCCGGATTTCCTGGAGACCCATGGGCATGGTATTTAGATTCTTCAGTCCCCACCACCACGTCTTTGCTCACATGAATTACCATAGGTTGAGCCCTACTCCTCCTGTTCTTATTATTCTCCCAGTTCCCTGTTGAGTAAGCATGAGAGGACCCTCCGTCGGGGTGTGCCACAACGTCGCTTTGCACGTTTGATATTGACGATGCTGATGGATCAATGATCTTCTCAGTCGACCCGTTTCCATCGCCTTCTTGAACAGTGGCAAGTGCCGCTGTGAGACTGAAGGGGTCCTTGGCCTTCCCTCGCTTCTTTGAACCCATTTCGTACGACTCTTCAAGATGAGCGCTGTTCTTTGAGCGTTTTGAGGAACCATATTCCGTCATCCCACGGCCGTAATCTCTCGTCCAGAACCTCTTGGTAAAGACAGGTCTAATTAAGATGGCCTGACCGACGACGATTGCGACAAAGTCCTCACGACAAGACCAGATTGCCGCTGTTGGTCCGTTTTTCATCTATTGGTGTATGTCTTAGACGCCGTCAACTTGAGTAAGGAGGTAGGGCATAAACTTACCACGAGTACCATGGTCACTCTTAGAATAGCGGCGACCATGATAAAGATTCCCGCACCAAAGAGGCAGAGGAGGCCAATTCGCTTCCAGAGGCCAATTTTGACTGGGACCACAACGGGGGCGGGGATAGCCATAATAATCAAGTCGGTGACAATATTCATGACGAGAGGCGGGACCATGTTGAGCATGGACTGAGGTTGGCAGTACTCTGCTGCAAAGTTAGCAGATGTCAAAAGAAATGAAATATTCAAAGGCACAAGCCTGTGTTATATCGAACCTCCTTGATCTGGGTAAACAATCCACATTCGATGGTATGGGCGGCATACACCGAATAAGATGCCATAGATTGCGACGAAGGTCGCCAACACCAAGAACATGGTAGGCATTATAAACTTCTCCACCCATAGCCCGTTGACGATGCGTTGGTAGAGGAAAAGCATGTTTAATTTCAACGTCCAGATGAAGAGAATATAGGTTGCGACGCCAGCACAGAACCATTGTGTCGCGTAGATGAGCGGAGCAGCCTCTTCCTCGGTCATGTTTTTTCGAACGTCGAGAGAAACCGCATGGAGGTCACCGAGACCACCGACAATATGGGCGGCCACGGTCATCACCGTGTACGTGGCCTAGATTTCGCCGGCGTGTGTCAGCTATGTTAACCCGTGATAGATGGACGAAACGAGAAAAATGTTCATTGCGAGAAAAGTAACCGCACTATTGCGTACCCATGATAGAAAGACAATATAATCGTCGGGCTTGAAGCCGACCAAACCAACGGCTCGTAATCGACACACGATTCGTGCCAAAAATATCAACGAGCCTCCTGCATATAGACCCCACGTTTCCGCAAGAGGTGAGTACGCCATCGTATATCACGGCTTGAATATGGACGTGGACGCTGGTTGAACACTGAGTATGGGGGATGGCCGATATTATCCAGCGATGACATGAGCGGCTGTTCCGCGAGCTTGGATGAAGCTACTCAATGGGAGAGAATACCAAACTCAAAGCATTCGGTCGAACATGTGGGATTGTGGAGGGAGACGCCTTCAAGTGGGCCATCTGTCGATGTCATATATCTCGCATGAGGAAAAGGGGGACCAGTGAGCCATCTACACGAAGAGTGTGGGAGGGAAAGCTCGCACATGGATTTTGCCAGGGCAAGACTGGTTGCCCCCTGACCCGGCCATGTTACAAGGGCATATCAGCTCCTCGGATGCCCCAGATGCGTTAGCAGTAAGCCAGCAGCCACCCTCGGTTGAGCAGTCTGATACCTGCCTTCCTGGCATCAAATCGCTGGGCTATTCGAAGACCTGGTTGCAGATTGCAGCGAAGGATTCGTTTGATGGGAATGCATAATCCTATGATTGTTCGCACCACCTTCGGACTGAGCAGTTGGCTACGATATTGGAGAATCTGGACCTCGCTACACCGGAGGAATCCTCCCGGGAAAGACCCGAAAAGTCGAAGTCCCCCATGCGATATGCAGCTGCAAAGGATTGCGGTTCGCATATACGGAGTAAGCATCACAGTCATTCTGAATGCTACTGCGCTGTGTCTTGATGTTTACAAAGGGCCCTGTTGCGTTACATGCATTTGGGGGGCCCAGTTAGCCAACCCGTCGCTAAAGGGGGGGAGGAACCAACCGAAACAAGATCAACACACCGACCCATAAAGGTGACATGTTTTAGCTAGTGTTATTTACCTAAAATTAAGTAAGTAGCCAAGCCTCACTTAAATATACCCCATGTTGATGTGCCCCCTCTACGCCAGGGGGTCGACTGGGCTAGACCCCCAAGCCGTTGCAAGTGGAGGGCGGGTGTCACGGAAGACCGACAAGGTTCTGGACTCCTTACGAACTACGTAGTGCATGAAGCATGCCGTTGGTAGCCAGGGCATATCAGTGACTTATCGTAGTAGCTGCAACACTTGCGGTGACCCAAAGTCCAGAGCCCCTACATTGTCGGACCCGAACAGGTCGTAATTCATTATCTTTTCGCCCGCTGGAATAGTTAAGCGAGCTCTGCCCATTGCACCTCCTCACTGCGACAACACAGGTTGCATTCTACTGTTCATCCTCATTTTTTCCCTCCTTGCCCCGTTGTTGCCACTGCAAATACTCATATTACCCCTGTGCTGCTCCTGTCGCTTGCCGTGTCTGTCCTGCGCACACCGCACAATACCTGATAGTATCACGAGCTGCACGCCATGGCCTCTACCACGGACTACAAGATCCCCTTTGAGGGACCCTTCCAGAATGTCATCAACAATGAATTGACGTCCACGGCCACCACTCGCCACGCCGTCTGCCCTTCCACTGAGAAGCCGCTGTGGGATGTGCCGGTCTCTACCGCGGAAGATCTTGACCGAGCCGTGGCGGCAGGCAAAGCCGCTTTCCCGGCATGGAGCAAGCTCTCGTATGATGAGCGTCAGAAGTACCTCGATAAGTTCGCTGATGCTATCGAGGAAAACCAGGAGGGCTTCATCAAGCTCCTTGGACAAGAGGTGGGCAAGCCGCCTCAGGCTGGGGGGTTTGAGCTGTATCTCGTTATGGGACTGGCTCGTGGGATCCCCCAGTTGCGTATCAAGGAGGACAAGATCATTGATGATGATGATGTATGTTCAGAGTATCAGCCCTAGCCACGAGACCCAGCTAATTGCTCCCCTGTATAGCGCACGGCAATTGTCAGATACGTGCCACTGGGCGTCTGTGCGGGCATTGTCCCCTGGAACTTCCCTCTCACGCTTGGAATAGGGAAACTGATTGCAGCGCTCCTTGCCGGAAACACGTTCATCTGGAAGTCATCGCCCTTCACCCCCTACTCTGCATTGAAGCTGGCCGAGATCGGTGCGAAGGTCTTTCCCCCTGGAGTCTTTCAAGCCCTAAGTGGCGATGATTCTCTTGGCCCTTTAATAACTGGGCATCCTGGTATTGCCAAGATTGGCTTTACAGGATCTGTTGAAACAGGGAAGAAGGTAATGGCGGCCTGCGCCTCAACTCTCAAGAGAGTCTCGTTAGAGCTTGGCGGGAACGACGCTGCGGTTATTTGTGACGACGTTGACATTGATCAAGTCGTTGCCAAGGTATGCTCCCCTTTCGCCTCCGCCTTGTCGTCTTATTTTAAATGCCGTATGCTTTGCTCACACATTGGGATGTACAACAGGTCACATTCCTGGCGTATGTTCACGTGGGCCAAATCTGCATGAATATCAAGCGTATATATGTGCATGAGAACATCTATGATAAATTTCTTGACGCCATGGTCAAAGCCGTCGCGCAGTTCAAGACGGGAGATCATCAAGATGCCGAGGCCTTCTTTGGTCCAATTCAGAACGACATGCAATACCAGAAGCTGCGCAAGTTCTACTCGCAAATTGAGACTCAAGGCTGGAAAGTAGCGACGCCCGAGCGCCCGAAGCCAGAAACGGGATACTTCTTGACACCAACTATAATAGACAACCCCCCCGATGATTCCGCAATCGTTACTGAGGAACCATTTGGTCCCATCTGTCCCGTCTTGAAATGGAAGGATGAGGACGATGTGATTTCCCGCGTGAATGCGACCAAGTATGGCCTCGGGGCTTCTGTGTGGAGCAAGGACGTGCCGCGAGCTAAGCGCATCGTGGAACAACTCGAGGCAGGAAGCATTTGGGTCAACACCCATTTCGAGCTTGCTCCCAATGTTCCTTTCGGAGGGCACAAAGAAAGTGGGCTCGGGATGGACTGGGGGGAGGTGGGTGTCAAGGGCTGGTGCAACCCCCAGGCTTACTGGGTCAAGCATTCTGGCTAGGCAGCCACGGGCTGCAGGCCGTTTACAATTAGTTTCCACGCAATGAAATTGACATGGTTTCAAGTACCCTAGTGCTGGACAAGCAGGGATGAGCTGTTTTCACTCGTAAAGGCCGAGGCCCCTGTATGTCAAGCCGGCTATCTATCCGAAGTTGGTGAAGATGATCCCTGTAGGTATACTCAGTTTGGGCAATGACCGAGGACGCGGAACTAGAGTCTTTTCCCCTAGTCCTTCTAGCCCATTCCCAGTGTGCGGGCCGATGGTTTAGGGCATTGATGCATGCCGTGTCTTGGAACACAATGGTATCTGCTCGAGCTACACAAAAAAACCGGTATAATGTTGGTGAGCCAACATCCGCCAAGTTGATCATCAAATATTGGAGTAAACGGGCCGACTTGGCGACGAGTGCTTTAGGCTACCATCAATGTACGTATGTATGTACGTATGTATGAAAGTGACAGTTTCCATGTCACCGCCGCCGTTTCATTGTTGGAAAGCCTTTTCTATGGACACCCCATTCCTCAAAACGTGATTGGTTCCCTGTGTGACCCTGCCAACAAGATATGACTACCCTGGCACATGAAAACGTAAGCGGCCTCTGAGCCAACTGTTGATGCAATGCACTCCGCCACATGCACTCCTCTTCCTGTCGTAAAATCCCTCTCTTCACGTGTCCATAATCAACATGGCATGAACTTGGATACCTACCAAATAACCATTCTGCTGGAATCTCCCACTGCCCAGCTTGGAAGGTGACAATCGTCTTTGCATTCGATCCTTTGATGCATCGCTACACTCCTCCGGCTCTCGCTCATTCAGTTCATTCGCCGGTCCGGCACATGGAGCCTTGAAGCGCAAAGCTTGTTACGGTAGTGGCTTGTCCTCGGAGAAAAGAGGGAAGAACGAGTGGGGCCATCATGTGTAATTTACGCAAGTCCTCCATCGTTACTGAATCTGGAATGTCTTGCGGTTCATTTGAAAGTGCCGAGCACGACCCTCACACACAGATGGTGCAGAGTAGATCAGGAAAACTCCACTACGGAGGGGGTCAAGCTGGGGTAATGCGTATCTTTATTAACTAACTACCTTGCCCCTATTTGTTTGGGGAGTAGCCAATCCATTACCTGCCAGAAGTGCCAAGCGGTCGCGACTCTTCCACGCATATTTTATGTACTTTGGTGATTCCGGGCAGGGGTAGATCGACCAGGCCTCGTTTATTACCCAACCCCGTTTCGCCTCTGGTTTTCGATCCCTGGCTTCATTGTTTACCCACTCTCAAACGTACGCGCCCCTCCAACCACATGAAATCATCACCAAAGCTTCCAAGTTGACTTCTCTTGAACTGTTGGTAGAGAGCTGACGACAGGACAGTCGCATTGCGAAGCCATCTGTAGCGCGAACCAATAGATGATGAATATTTACTTGCTTACGAGTTTTCTCCTTAAGACCAAAGTATGATTGTATCTGGCTGGCCACCTTGGGCCGGCAAGTAGCCAATAAAAGAGCTGACAGTGTAGCGAGTTGGTGGTCTCTGATCACTACTGTCTCTGGAAATGTCACAAGCTCGGACCTCGTGAAAATGCCTGTGGCTTGGTGATCAGCTCTATTGGGCTTCTTATTCTCAGCAGATGCGTGCTTACCGAGGGTTAAACCAGTACAGATCTCCTGGCGTAGGCTTCACAACCTTGATGGCACACCCGTCGACAATCTGAGGGTCGTACGCATACTTGGGGAACTCCTTGCGCCACTTGATGTCGTCTTGGGGTGCATGCCAGGTTCGATCATAAATAATCGTGTCCCCGCCGGGGACCGGGTTGAGTAGGATGTTCCAGGACATTTGTGCTACAATGCCGCCGATCTCCCACCCATTACCTTCCTATTCAAGCTTAGTAGTTAGCGAATGCCATCGACAGGACCAACTTTGAGGAACGGATTCCGAGTTCTTGCTCACAAAAGGGGCATGGTCAGCGTGGATCTGGATGCCGGTGTCAATTGCTCGAATCACCCCGGCAAAATACTCGCGTTCGCCCTCACGAGCTTTGCGGACCAGCATTCCGGATGCCTTGTGGAGACTTTCTGCCACTCTTTCTATAATGTCGATGCCTAGCTCTCTCTTCCACCGATTTTGGAGCGACAATGCGTCATTGACAGCAGAGAAGTACGCGTCTTTGTCTGCAATAGGTAGAAGTCAGCATCGGCTCTCTAATAATAAACAAACATTCATGCTGTTGCGGCGCTTACTATGAACATGGTCCGTTTGGGCCACCCCAACACAACCCACACGGGGCCAGACATGGTCTGTGTTGTATATCCCCTTCACGAAAGTTGAGTCAGTCAGTTCGCAGTCTCATAGAAGCTAGTCGTTGGATTGAACTTACAATCTTGTGAGATTTGAGAACCTCGACCATTTTCGCGCACTCATCCTGGGACAGGAAATCCTTCTGCCTGATAACTGGAATGGTTCCTGCAAAACAGTCAAAGAGAGATTTCTTGTTCAACGATTGAACCTCGGTCGTCCTCCAGTGGGTTGAGACGTTGTACTGGGCAGCAGTGGCAACGAACGGCGTCTTTTCGCCATGGCCGTTGCCAAGGGTGGCGTCGGGCAGGTTGAAGAATGCAGTCGTCTCCATTATTCTTTGTAAGTTATGGGCAGATGTCCGAATTGCTTGTATGCTAGATGTGCTTGTTTAAGCAAGATGACTCTTCTGGAACCGAATTCCAGTATTTATATATCCTCTGACAAGCAAATCTCTCAGTGGTATTGTGCGTGCGCAGTTAGGTTGAAGCGATCAGGCTGTCTCGGATCTGCCCGAATTGGCCCGTGTACACCTCAGCATCAAGATGTTGGTAGGAATGTCTGGGTGGTGTGCATCAATCAAGTTATCCATCAAATCCTAGCCAATTCAGGTGGAAATAATGATCCCCTGGCTGGGTAAGGGAGAATCCTACAGGAATTCTCCATGTAGAACCTTTTTGAAAGTTGGAACTAGGTTCATTCACCGCCGAATATAGGCCTTCCTTGTCTTGACTGGGACAGCAATACATTCTTTGTTCCAGCAATTCAGCAATTCACTCTTAGGACTCTTAGAGGTCTGGTATAGATGGTACACCCCAAGTATCTTTATTACTTCCGATTATTAGGATTGAAACGACGAGTCGCGATAGGCAAGAGTTGATTTTACTATGCAAGTACCATTCAGCCAGGGGTTGGGTTACAGTAACATTTCCAAGTGGTGCCTGGAGAAAGATGGCAAGTTTCCCTACCGATTCAGGAATAACTTGCGATCTATGAATATTCGAGATCCATTGGTATCCGAGGGCCCTGTTTGATCATACCCTGACCCGAGATGTATCTGCATCTGCTTATTCGCCTTGGCTCAAAAGTTCCGAGGCATACGTAAACGGTATGTCAAATCAGAAATGGACCTGGCTGGCCAAATCCTGTCTATCGCTTGTCCAATCATTATGATCTGCCAAGTCGCTTTGTGCACCAACAGAATCGGACAAAACACAATTGCAATGCTGCAGATGCGTTTCCGTGATTGCGATTCTTCTTTGCCTGCATAGCCAATATTTGGTCTAGAAATCAGCTGACAGGCCCTGGCGACTGTTGGTCTCAGCGCCACCGGCAGCCATGCAGGTGTCTCTGTATCAATTGATGTGACGGTTACAGAAAAGGATTACACTACCCAACGAATGCTCAGGAAAGTGAGCCATGAAGGACTTTCGGCAAAGCCTTAATTCAGTAGGTCACACTTGGGAATACTGGTAGCTCGGCGGAAGCCGAAAAGCCGGACCAACACATTCTGCTCACAATGAACTCAAAATGCACACTCGGTGAGACGCGGACGGTTGGTAACTCTGCCCATTATTATGAACCGGTCGCAAGGATTTGTAACGCTGACAAGGGTATTGGACAACCCGTACATGCACGGCCCTACAACAATAACCCATTCAGCAGGCCCTTCTATTGATTCAGAATGCAAGGGTTGGCCCTAATCTTCTCACACGTCCCGTGGCATGTGAACCCCTCTCCTGATCACAGTTTTCTCACTCGAATGAGGAGATGCAGTTGATGGAAATAAAAACAAAGACGAGAGATAATCGCCGAACTCCCCTACCTTCCCTTTGCTTTACCCTAATATTTCTTCTTCTATCCTTTAAGCTCTGGCAAACTTAAGGGTTGATATAAAATACTTTTTTTGAGCTAAATGTGAACGAGATGGGAGGCCAGGACAATGACGGTTCGCCTTCAGTGCAAATTACAGCCACATACCTCCAAGATACTACCCCAGCAATCACAAGAGAACCACGCAAATGGAAATGGAGCCGAACCACCGCTTCATTCTTCCTGATGGGAATTTTCGTGAGTACTTCCTGTTTCTCGGTGTCAGCCCCCCAGTATACTCAATCATTCTCAGGTTGGGCTGCCAACAATGCCCATTACAACAGCAGCAAACCAAATGTTTGAAGGAATCACTGGTGTCTACGGCATATGCCTATCCTTGACGGCTGCAGTCTCTGCCTTTGTAGGACCCATGATCGCTCAATATGTCCCTTTTGATATTGTTACCATTGCTCTCACCTTGGCCTCGGGCCTCGCATATGTCATCAGCTCGCTACCATCACCTCTATCAAATACCGGCGGTAATAAAACTGGCCCTGTCATCGGCACAATGCTCGCGGGATTCGTGTACGCCTTTGGAACGCAAAACTACCTTGCCGTGGCTGCTTTCTTCCCTGCTGAGGCTGTGGTCGCTCTTAGCGTGGGGAGTGGTCTGTCAATTATTCTTGGCTCAGGTATTTTCATTGCTCTGATGGAGGGCGCTTTTGAGCAGGATTGGCGGCGGTGCTTCCTCGTGTTTCTTCCAACTACACTAGGCATACCTCTCGTGTGGTGGGGTCTATTTGACAAGCAACGTCGTCTAGCTGCTGAACTTTGTCGAAAGCAGAGTTTGCAAAAGAGGCGTGATACGTCTAGCTCAAGTGAGCTCGAGACGGGTGGCACTGGGGACGAACAGCAACGAACCGTCATAAGCAGCACCGTGCTTGATGATAACGGCCTCCCGCGGAATCTAAGACCTGGCTTCGGTCCTAACCGAACACGTACAGGCCTTCTGTTCAAGACGCTCCTCCCTAATTACGTCTTGCCTCTAATTATTTGCACCACGTGTGCTATTCTTTCACTCTTTGGACTAGCGCCAATTCTTCAAGACCTCGAGCGATTTAAAGGAGCCCCCAAAGGTGACTCTGAGTTTCAGTTGGTTTGTAAGTACTCGGTTTCGGAACTACTTATGCCTTCATATTTGCTAATAGTGTTTGCTTTGTGTTTAGTTTTTGCTTATGGAAGTGCGCAATTCCTATTCAGCACTCTGGTCATATGGAAACCTATTCCGAACATCTGGCTATGGACAGGTGCGGAGATTGTGTTCACTACGATGGCTATTGTCCAGCTTTGGCATCCGTTCCTAACGTACTTTGGGGTCTGGTTCGTCATTATGTTCATGATAGGAGGATGTGTGGGTGGAAGCGTTACAAACACGAATTACAAGATTGCTGCGGACTTTCAGCAAGCCGGTGAGCCAGACGAAGTGCGAAGCTTTGCGAACAGCTATGCTGGTTTGGGCAACTTTGGTGGTGATGCCCTTGGCGGTGCTCTTGGACTCGTTTTCCAAATGGCTATTGCCAAGCATTTAAGCCCAACCACCACCTAACTGTTACCAGTCAACTACCAGAGACCATCACCTTGCAAGATTCTGCTAATGTATGTAAACCAAATCAAGCCGTGATGGGAATATTGTGAACGCTTGAGGAAATGAGGCCACGATTCCAGAATAAATGAGTAAATGACATGCCTTTATCATCAACTCACCTTCTTTTGATCTTTCTGCTCAGTTCAACTTATCTTCTTGTTCCTGCCTAATGAAATATTGCCCTACGTATTATTGATAAGTGATTCTACTAGAATTATCAGAAGAATTCTAATTTGCTCGTGACTTTTATCATCAACTTGGAGGCTATTTGGGGGTGTCTAGGTTAGGTGCAGCTTCCAGACGCCACTATTCGATCAGGGTTTAGTGTGAAGGTGCATGACATTAGTAAGCATTGGCATCACGTCACCCCGCCAACCACGACGTGCCCACAAACAAGAGCCACCACTCAATCGACGCGTATGGCATCATCGCCATCATCGCCATCATCGGCATTCACACTCTTCACCTCGACGAATGGGCCCTGTGAATTGCTGCCACACTTATGGACTTCAACCTGTCCGTTGGCGGAGTCGCGCACTGGCTTGACGCCCTACCATTTGACCAGGCCGCGACCACACCCGAAGCTGATCGCCAGCGTACACGGAAGCGACGAGCCTCTTTCAGGCGCAGCGAAACGCGCAAACGCCAACGACAACGACATCCCATCTCTCCTCCCGCCTCGCAAGTCGCACGCAAAGCGTCCTCGTCGAACTCGACCGCCCCCGCTATGGCACCCTCGACACCAAAAAAGTCACCCGGCAAGCGGCCAGCCAGCGATGCCCCAATGGTGGACACTGACCAGACACCAAGGGTCTCAAAGGCCAGCGCAAGCAAAGGCCCGGTTACCAGCGCTCCTAGTCTGTCCTCGTCCCAGAGCGATGCAGCCTGTTCGCACGATAGCAAGCGGTCGAGGCGATCGCAGTCACCATCCAAGTTGTTCCCTTTGTACGGACCTGACGGCCACCGGCTCGTCCGAGGTTCGCTCGGTATGGCCGCACCAACTGATCCTCTATCTCCAGCTCTTCGGAGTTTCTTGGGGGACATCAACGATGTGGCGGGCAGACACTGCATCATGCCGCAAAGGGTCAAGGCGGCTCTGGCAGAGCACCTCGCGGCTTCAGGCCAGTTTGACCGGTTGCACGAATATATGTTCTTTGACGATGCAACAGGTCCTTGGAGCGAGCAGACACGGCATGATAGTCGTAGTGGGGAGGAGCTGGTTCGTCGCGCTTCGCACATTGCCGCCCGGTCCAGCGACTGCTCCCGCATGCTCAGTGACGAGTCTGCCTGGAATAACCTTGTGCACTCCCCGCTGCTTGATATGCTTGTGTATGATATGCGGGATGGTCCGGGCCAGGATATTCTGGACTTCGTGCCCTGGTAAGTTGCAATTGCATCTCTTGTCTTGTACCAGCTGAATTCTAACCGAGCCGCCTTACAGTACGACGACCAGCATCGACCCAGCATATCACCACTTTCCCGACGCCGCCAGCCGTATTGACTACGTCCTCCAGCTGCTGCCCGAGCGAGATCCAAAAATCAATAAATCATATGAGGCGCTGGCCTTGGGTATGGCCCCGTGCTTCAACTGCACCGCGGATCGGCTACTGCAGCAGTACCCGCTGGCCGTCAGTATCGAGACTAAGCGTCATGGTGGCAATGCGGCCAAGGGGGAGCAGCAGCTCGGCATCTGGCACGCCGCGCATTGGGAGTTTCTTGCGTCACGGGCCGGCGCCGAGGCTATCGACGACCTCGACTTCCTCCCCGGCGTCGTGGTCCAGGGTCACACCTGGTCACTTGTCATCACTGTGAGGCGTCAGGCTACAACGGTACGTAAATACATCCTTCGCCCCGGTGAGCGTGACACTGACCGAGACGTGCAGATAGTACTGTGTAGTGTCGAGTTTGGCAACACGAGCTCGACCGTCGGCGTGTTTCAAGTCCTCGCTGGTCTGCGGCGGCTGCGTAGTTGGTCAATAGACGTCATGTGGCCATGGTGTACGCAGTATTTGCCAGGGCTTTCCAACCCTTCTAGCGGCGGCAAACCGACGCCTGCTGCTGCTGTCGCCGAGGAAACGATCCTAGGCGGGTAATGGGGCGGCTGGTGTTTCCATTATTTACTACTAACGCCAGCCTTTTGAGAGAGACTCGAAGCCGGCATCGCTCGAAATAGTAATATCACATGCAATATAAGAGGTGCAGGCACTCCAGGTCCTTCCCCGATGATATGGCTGAGCAACGGGTGCTTGAGTTGTAACACGACACTCATCCCTAACCTCTTATTTATATCGCGCGGGGAGATTTCTGAGTCACGAGGGAACTCGGTGTGTTTGGAAACCAGACACAGAGCCTACAGTAGTCTGCAGCCTCTCCTACTACAGCGTTACTGCGACAGCCTCCTATAACGATCAAGGCCATACAGCAATATTATCTCGTTCCCCAAGGCACCGTCTCGTTTGAATCGAGATAGACATCACCTCCGAGGTATGCGACATGCAGCTGGGCCACTGTGGATATGTCTCACGCGGTACCAACGGGAATAGAGGCTTAACACAACCCAAATCATCCTCCGCAAGAGGAGAATGGCCCATATCAGGGGAATACTTTATACCGCGTTTCAGCCCGTAAAGGCGATCGATGGTATGGAGCATCTCTGGGCAAGACTGAGATTTGGATTGTACTTTTTCAGAATATTGGAAGTCTTCTCGACGTAGAGTAAGCGCCTACTGGCTAGAGACAAGATGCCATCGCAGCAGCGAGCGTACATCAAGGAGACGAAGCGCCAACAAATGATGAAGCGCCGCAAGACTCTCTAGACCAGCTCGATTAACTCTGGGGCGGCCGTAATTGGCTTCCCGACGAATTCGCCAATGGTCAGCCCGAAGACCTCAAAGTGCACCGACTGAAGAACCCCAAGACCGTCGGTGAGAATGCTGCTTCGCGCAACGTGCACCTCTGGGAAAATGGCGGGCTGCTGAATATACCGTGTCACATCGCGAGGTAGGTATCTAGAGTTTGGTTTGCCAAGATGTGAGCAAGCTATATTTCTATATACGTCAAGGAGGAGAAGCTCTGCTCTTCTAAATGTCAAGACCTTGAAAACCGGCCGTTGAAGTTGTTGAAGGAAAACCCATTTTTCAATCTCTGTAAAGGCCTAAGCCATAAGTTTCGCCTTCTCTTCTGACCGGCGGGCTGGGTCGTGTCTTGGCTTTTGTCGTGGTCGTGTAGAATCCCGCATAATCTACACTCCTTGTCTCCTCTTACCGGATTAATAGTCTCAATCTTCCCATCAATATATTGGAAACATCCTCGATCATGTAGAAGATCCAGCATGGAATCTAACCCATAGTCCGAAATTTCATTTGCAAGCTTGCTGCCGAAACTTGTACGGAGGCAGTCTTCTCGATATTGATCCAAAAGTAACCGCACCATATCCTCATACTCACTAAGGAGTGCTTGGATTACATCATAGTAATGGAATCTCGCCCCATGCAACAGTAGTTTCCTGACAATAAATATATTTCCAGACTTGATTGCGCCGAGTAAGGGTCGGTGAATAAATAGACGAGCTCTTTGAACATTAGCACCGTACTGCAGTAAAAGGTCAACTACATCTTCATTTCCAAAACGGGAAGCAAGATATAGAGGGGTCTCTCTGTAGTTATCAGCCAAATCGGCTTCGCCATCAACATGACATCCAGACTCAAGCAACTTTTTGACTATGTCAAAGTTGCCGTATTCTGCATAACGTCTTATGTGTATGGCATGGAGGCGGATGATAAATGCGTGGGGCAGAAGAGAGGTCAGCTTGGAGTAGATCTCCCAATTCTTCGCGCAAGATGTTGCTTCTTCAAGTGAGTCACGCGCTCTCCGTGGTCCTGGCTGGCCAGCATCTCCCTGAGAGATGTAGCCGAAATAAGCGTTGCTGTCCTTGTCGGTGCGAGAAGGAGGGCACAATGCCATCTCCAACAGATCTGTATCTCCATTCATAGCGGCTCCTACCACCCCCTGAATATCAGCTTTGCCCTTGTGATAAATCTCTGACAAGGCATAATGGCAAAGAAATGGTCGTGTTTGGTTCGAGTTATCACGAGTGGGTTCAACAGAATCAGGTAAACTCTCCTGAAATAGTTGTAAGATATGGCCATGTCCGGCTAGAGTTGCTGCTTCTATTGCTGAAGGGAAAATTCCATCAGTCTGCGTTGGGTCATTGCCATTCTCCAGCAGGCGCTTAACCAGAGGCACGCTGCCTACAAAGGCTGCAGCGCTCAGCAAGCTTAGATCCGGACTGCCCTCGGGTTTGCGCTGCATCCACAACCGTCCCAAGGCTATTCCAAGACCAAGCCAGCAAACCGAACTGATTGTATCATGCAAGTCGGCTTCTGTCTCGCGGCAAATAGCCTCTGCAATATGACGAACCTCCACATATCGATGGCTAGCAGGGTCAGGTTCACTTTGAACTCTATAGACGAGGTATGAATGCAAGAGACTTTGGGCGCCATAATTTCTCCTGATAGGCCAATGCTTGATAAATGATATGCTATGGCTGTTGGTTGCACAAGGAAGAAAGTCATCCAGTATTCGTGACTCGAATAGCGCTTGTTTGGACAATATATCAAAGGTTTCTAAAGTTGCAAAGTCAGAATGTAATCGTAAAGATAAGGAGTCAGCTTACTGCAAACGAGCCTTAACCTCAAAGCTCTCGAGCAACGGAGATAGGAATCATAAGGGAAGTTGTGGAATCGAGCCCGTGTTGCTTGCACCAAGATAGCATCCAGTATCTCCCGAGGGAGCATCAAAATGGGAGACTGAGGTGTTTGCATGGTGGTTAAAGACATAACTACAGGCAGAATGGCGAGACTTGGGTCCTGGTAGCATGTTTTTAGGGTTAAGGGAGGGGTCAAATAGTATGGCAAGAAGACTTGAACTTGTGTGGCGTTCTCGTGTCACCTGATTGACCTCATACGCTACAGCCAACCAATAATTACCACTTGCCACCCCACCAGCTGTGCTTGCTGCATAATAGGTACTTTTAGAACATGATAATAATAATAATACGTGGCATAGAATGCTGACACAACCGCAGGAATCTGACTAATAGAGCAGCTAAGGGTTGCATTTGAGAGTACAATATTGATTTTCTAAAAATATCTGCTGTGCTCCGGTCAAACCTTTTCAGAAGTATGTTTCGATTAGTGGATATTAATAAATACTTTAGGGACTTTTATAATTCAGCCAGGAATATAAATATAATTATCTGCATTATGAGTAGTATGTCCTAGAGGGTTGCGCTGAGAGAGGATAATAGCGGGATTAAGAGACAGTATCCTGCTATCAATTAGATGGCAAAACCATCCGAATATTCTACATCACATTAAGATCGGCAAATTTAACTTTGGATCCTCACAAACATCAAGTTCTTCCTTTCCTCTGATTACATCGCTCCAAGATGAAATCGTCCGCCTTTCTGGGGGCCATTGCCCTCACTATGCTTGGATCAGGACAGGTTTTCGGACACCATTCGAGCATACAAGAAATGCAATTAGTTAGTCTGCTGATCACCTCCCGAGTCTCGTATTGGATTATTTAGAATAGCTAACGAGTCTCATCCTTATTTAAGCAGGATCGAGAAACATGCTCTCCGACACCAAACCTAGTTGTCGATAACCTGCCTCACACACGACATCCTGGAACCAAATTTAAAAAACGAAGCACCAATGATGACCCGATAATCTACGAGAACAAGCCCTCGGTCATTTTAGAAGAACGCAGGGTCAATAAGCCAGTAGCAAAGGCAGGACCGAAACCTGGTGCTAAAGCAGCAGGAAAGCCGGCAGCAAAGCAAGCAGGAAAGCTGACAGCAAAGACAGCAGCAAAGACAGCAGCAAAGACAGCAGCAAAACCAGCAACAAAACCAGCAACAAAACCAGCAACAAAGCCGGCAGCAAAGCCAGCAGCAAAGGGAACTAAACCTAGAGCTAAAGCAAGAGGAAAGCCAGCAGCGAAGCAAGTAGCAAAGCAAGCAGCAAAGCCGATAGTAAAACCAGCAGCAAAGCTAAGATCAAAAGCAACTAAACCTAAAGCTAAAGCAAGAAAAAAGCCTGGAGCAAAGCCTGGAGTAAAGCCAGCAGCAAAGCAAGTAGCAAAGCAAGCGGCCAAGCAAGCAGTAAAGCCGATAGCAAAACCAGTAGCAAAGCTAGGATCAAAGGCAAAAGCAAGAGGAAAGCAAGCAGCAAAGCCAGGATCAAAGGCAACCAAACCTGGAGCTAAAGCAAGAGGAAATACAGCAGCAAAAGCAACCAAACCTGGAGCTAAAGCAAGAGGAAAACCAGCAGCAAAGCAAGCAGCAAAGCCGAGAACAAAATCAGCTAAATCTGGAGCCAAAGCAAGAGGAAAACTGGCAGTGAAGCCGGGATCAAAGGCAACTAAACCCGGAGCTACAGTAAGAGGAAAATCAAATAAGTCGAGAGTCAAGTCAACAGGCAAAGCAAATCAGCTGGCCAAGGGACGCAAGTCACAACAAACCGATAAGACTAGTAAGGTAACGAAGTCTGCCCATGGACGCCAGTCCGGTCAAGCGCTACATAGCAAAACACGCAAGTCAGGCCAATCAGCCAAGCCTGCTAAGTCGAGAAAGCCTGGCAACTCAAAGAAGCAAAACTCCAAGGCCGGTAGCATATCAAAGCTACAGCACAAAACATCAAAAAGTGGAAGTTCACCCAAGCACGACAAAGTATCGAATAGGGGTAAAGGTCAGAAGCAAGCACTAAAGACCGGCAAAAAAAAAGTGAAACTAAACAGGCCTGGGAGAACGAACAAGCCTATCGGATTAATCAAGCCTGCTGAGCCCCCTAAATCCGCAAATCTAAAACAGCTTGGAAAAGGAAGTCACCATAATGAAAAGGCTAGTAAAACAACAAAAGCTCGCAAGAAAGAGCAAACAAGCAAGAAGGATAAACACTCCAAGCCACAAAAATCATCGACAGAGTCTGCCAAAAGCAAGCCGACGAAATCAGGTACCCAGAAGTTCTCGACGCCTGGGAAGAGCAAGCCGTCGGGCCCTGGGAGATCAAACAACCACAAGCTTGCCAATGCCAAGCCGACAAGACCCAGAAATGGAAAACTCCCAAAAGAGAGTAAACTCACCCCTTTTAAGTCGGGAAAGCAGACGGACCCCAAAGTTGGAAAGAGTAATAATCCGAACCGTACAAAAAAGCAATCTGGCAAAGGGAATGCTCCAAAGTCTGTCAAGGGCAAATTGGAAAAGAATGGTCAAGGGAAACTTGCAAAACAGGTCAAAAATAACGCTTTGACTCGCAACAGGGGAAAGCCACCAAAGTCTAGAAAAGGAAATGTTGTGAACACTGGCAAACAGAAAACTTCGAGACCGATACAAGGCAGCCTAAGAGGCCAAGGAACCTCTAGAAATTTGCAATCTTTGGTAACCCCAGGAAAAAAAGGACCTGAGGGTCAAGGCAAAAGCAAACAGGCATCTGCTGGGGGAAGTTGTCTCTTGAGCAGAGGAGTATCAGGACAAGCAGGTGGGAGCTGCAATGCAAAGAAAAAAGAAGAAAAAGAACGGCCAGTGAAACCAGAGAGTTTTGTGAGTATTTCATCGCGAATTTAATAACCCGGAGGACGAATGCTAATATTTCCAGGATCCCTTTGACGAAAACGAGGAAGGAAAACAATTTAGATATCAATTCAAACCTCAAACAGAACAAATAGTGCACGCCGATAAAGTCTTTGATAAATCAGACGTGCACCGAGAGCAATTTGGCGACAACGGTGAGAGCCTTGGACCAGGGAATTTGATCACCCAAATCGGCTTTACGGAAGACGGAAAAGAGGCTGTGATACCCTGGGCTTTCAATAAACACGACCTACCACGCGATAAGGAGGGTAAGATAAAAGCCGAAAACGATCGGGCAGAAGGGGAACCAACGCCTAGCACGAAAGGCAAAATGAAAATGGCAAGAGAATTTTTTTCGAAATTCAAGCCAAAGGTCAGTCAGTTCAAAGAAAAGTACATATGAACAATATTAATAAAGTAGCACAGAAGTCCGACCAAGCACCTAAGGACAGTGCAAACAAATATGACAAGGCCAGTTTGGCAGATCTGGTAAACGCTGTTTCCAAAAAGACAGGAAAAGATCCATCAAAACTGGAAAATGTGCATATCAAAGACATAATTGAGAAAGACACTGAAGACCGCATCAAAGAAGTCAAGAAAGGCAGAGAGAATGAAGAGACTGTTTTATATCCGAACCAAGAGTCAAAGGACTTTGAGAAGATCCACGGCTCAGAATGGGGCAAATCAGTTCAGAGGATTGGTAAGAATATAGGCAATAAGGAGATCGAGAGCATTACAATCCCCCCATTGACTGAGGTGCATCCTCACTTAAATTTCAAGCTTGCTGACCGGCCAGCTACAGAGGCTAAGTCATCCGTCTCTAAGCTTTCTAGATTGAAACATCTTTTTAATAGAAATTAGGAAGATAAGCGAGAATATCCATTTACTTTTATTTTATATTTAGTTTTTACTTACTACACTAATCTCATATACTAGCGTTGATGCTATTTTCCCCATTATATCTAGGTATTAGTAACTTCTAAAGTGTAAGGTTTTAATATAATATAAGGTTATATCTATCCTCGTCTTATATTAAGGTAATTACTTGTAAGCTTTCTATATATCTAATGATAGAGACCTCTAAGTGTTTAAGCGTAAATTATGCTATAAGTAACTTCTTATTTATATTTATAAATATTTTATATAGGTGGAGGTAGATATCGATAGGATTCTAGCGCAAGGTTTAAAAGCATATCGATGAGAGTTCGCGTATAAACTTAAGAACAGCAATGAAAAATGTTTAAAAGAATAATTAGAAGTAGATGCAATCTAGACTTTCTGTTCAGTGGTAAAGTATGATCAATGCCTCGCCCAGCGAGATACTAGCGCAGGATCATTCGCACTTCCCTTCGCACTTCCCTTAAAATAGAAAGTGAATAGTCTGCTTCATCACGTCCTGTTCATAATATCGCTCGAAAGACAAACTATAGTATGAGAGATAAACTATTGTGTTTCTAACTTTATTCTGCCTTTGACTATAATGTATTTTTTACTCCCGTATTCATGGTGTTGAGATGTTGGGTCTGGCATCTTCTATCGTTGTTTTAACTTTATGCCCGAACTCTCTCTCTCGTGTTTTTTACTCGACTAACTTTATTGTGATTTTAACTCTATTGTTACTTCACTCTTTTGTGTACATCCCCCGTCGATCCACAATTGAAGGTACCTCCTTCCCTCGCTTTCCACTAGCTAACCATCAAATCTCAACTTTTCAAATCTTCATAATTTTGCCCATCGTACCACACGGACAGTTTCCCTCCTCCATATCGCCCCAGAGCCTAGAAATTCAAGATCACCATTCTACCTTCACCATGTCTTCGCGCCGCGACCTCGACGCGTCCGAGGCATCAGCAGATTCGTTCGCCTCGTCCCTCGCTGAGAATGCCGGTATTGCCGCTCGATACCTGTCCGTCTCCAGTCTCGAACATGAACACGACGCGTCCATCATGCAGCAAACCCTGAGTACTCGCGTCGTGATTTCGACACATTCTTCGTTTGCAATCAGACACCAGGAAGCGTCCTTGCGCCCCGACCTCCAGCGATTGGTCCAGATTGGTGAAGGACTACAGGGTGCAATTTTTGAGCAAGTGGGAAAAACTCTGGTGATCAAGAAAGAAAGCCCTGAGAATGAATCCCGACCCACACGACTAGACAAGGAGTACCGCGCGCACGATCAAATTTGCCTCGCATTCCAGAAGTTTGGACCAATTGTATCCAACACAGTCTTTGTCCCACGGCCGAGTTCGCTGAAGACCCCGGGGGACGATGGTTTTTGGGCTGCGAACCTTGACAAATTCCCAGTCCAGTACCGAGTAAAGACGATGATCTTTACGATGGAACGTATCCTACCTCTCCCTAAGATCGTTCGAGGAGCCCTTATTTCATTATTTTATCCTCGTCCCCAGGGACAAGAATCCGCCGATCCAAACGTCGTCCAACGACTCCTCTCGGAAGAATCCAACAAGCATTGTCTTGCTCGTGTGTATCTCGGCAAGAAATCTCACACTTTCAAGCAAGATAACTTCTCACTCCGAAACTTCCCTCTTTGCTTGGACGCAATGCAGCGCTTCGGGCTTGAAGTCAATGAAATGGCTTATTCCATGGGCAAAGCATACGCGATAATACAATGGGGAGCCGAGTTTAATGCGGACGATGTCGAATTCGTTCTTGGTACCCTGACAACAAATACCAAAACTGTTACCAACTTTCAGGAACGAGCCGTTCGCCTTTGTCTCTTGGACTTTGGACAGTGCGATTCCGTCAACATGAGCCGAGATGCCGAGGACGTGTATCAGTCATTCCGCGGCGCACTTGTTGTTGGGGATAATCAATGGTTTATCCCTCATTGCCATCGGGACCCAGAGCTCTTCAAACACTTCCGTACTGGGTACGTTGAAGCTGGGAATGCTATTATGAAGGAGAAGAAATGGACCGGAAAGTTTGACATGGAGGATTTTATGGACGGTTATGAAGAATACGCTGAAGACTTCCTAGTGTAAAGTTCCAATCATGCCTGTATACTCGAGATTAGCGCATTAGCTTAGCCTTTGACCCTAGTCGGTGGGTAATAAGAAACATAGCACATCTAACACACGTCTATTCTTCTTATTTCTAATTGAACAACATCTCGCCTTCCCTGGGAAATACCGCCTGGGTCTCTGAACCTGTCGGTGCCGAGTTCACCAAGTAGATGGCTGACAGGCACGCCACTGAAGCACCTGTTCAACGTATGGTCACCCCCAGGGGCATTGCCGAGTGTAACCTGGTTGACGCGACGCCCTATTCCAACGAGTTCCAAACGTGAGCTCACATGTATGACAGGAGGTTAGATCCGGCAAAGGTTTTGAGTCCCTGCCTACTAGGTATCGTGATGCGGGTGAGGTTTCTACCTGGCAATGACTGTGTTTTCAATGTAGGTTAGATACCGCCTATTCTAGGATAGGAAATTTGATTGATATGTATCACAGAAGGGAACTTTGAAGAAAACATTTAATGTTGTGCTAAAAAGGACCTGCTTCGAGTCGACGGTGATCAACCTGTCAGCCGCTCAACTCTTGGGAAGGACGAGGCAGTCGTGACCGACAAGAATTTTCAGTACTGGGGTAAATTAAGTTTGCTTTTTTTTTTTTTTTTTTTTTTTTTTAATGCAACGGAAAGCAAGTCGAGTCGCAGAAAATGATTGTGTTGATTCAAGTGATTCATAAGATTGTACCATGGTGGCAGTCAGAACGGAGAGATCTAGGTTGCATCTGTAGCTTGGAACTTGATTACATAATACAGCTAAGTATCAATTGAACATTTCCGCAACTCCGCTCCTTCTATCGAGCACAGTAGCATCTCCTCAAACAACCCGGGCACATGATCCAGGCTACACCATGGTATTAGTACTACCACGGCGACGGCATTAAATCCCAGTGGTGAAATGCCTCGCCCCAAAGTACCACCGCACCGGCGACAGAGAGTCGTCCAGGCCTGTAACGCCTGTCGCGCGGTGCGCAAGAGATGTTCTGGCACAGCTCCGTGCACCCTCTGCCAGCGGCGTGGAATCGGCAACTCGTGCTCTATCCCAGTCCACGTCCCAGCTGCCAACCCACAAAGCATTGTGGGGACTGGGCGGCAAGGAGCCATCTCGGGTTCGGCAGACATCCCAGCGGGCATGATCGAGCAGGCTCGTTTGATCCAGACACGACCTCTCCGGGATCCGAACGCTGCTGGATCACTGGTTTCGTCGACGAGCCAAGCCACAAGGCCGTCTCCTGCAGGGGACTTGACCTCCTTGAATGAAGTGCGAGTGCCCAATCATGACAATCGTCCAGAGTCGCCGATATTGGGGGCTAAGCCACAGCCTCGGATGCTCCTCAACCTTCATGGCGAGAGAGGTGCGCATCCCCTATTCACTGCCGATCCCCGTCCTCTTGGTCCCATGCTTATCCTTTTGACAGTTTTCATCGGCAGAGGCGGCTCTCAGTCGCTACTACAATGCGTTCGAAAAATCATAGCGTCACAGATCGGCCCCTCCTCCTTCTCAAGAGATGGAAGAAGCGACATCATGCACGAGACAGAGTCTCCCCAAGCACGTCATCACACATGCAGCCCGGGAGAAATGAGCGTCGACACGAAACTCATGTACGCCGGTTACTTTTCCGCAGTGGTACGAAAATCTTGTCCGTTCGACATGCCTGAGAAATGTCCGCTAATCGAGAGCCCGCTAGACTGGGGGGTTGATTGATCCCTTTTGTCCACAGGAGCTGGAAACCCTTCTAACGACAGCGGTCCTGGAAAACCCGCACAAGAAAGCACTCGCCGAGCTAGTCATTGCCATCGGGCTCCAGTGTGAGCCTTCTGCCGATACCCTTGACCGCGAATTGGCCTACTTCACCCACGCCCAGTCACATGCCTTTTCGGGGATGCTGGAAGAGCCTGATCTGGATGTGGTGAGAATCTTTTTAATCATGGCCTTTTATCTCCTGGGCCAAGGCCGTAGGAATACCGCATTTGTGTATCTCGGGATTGCAGCTCGTATAGCCCTCGTCCTCGGTTTGCACAGCCAGGAAACCTACACTGACATCAACGACCCAAAGCAACAATTGAGGTGAGTTGGATGGAAACCCAATCCCATCCCTTCTTCCCAGTGTTAACGGTGACATGTATCGAAATAGGCTACGTGTATGGATGAGCCTGCGAGTAATGGACATTCCCATTAGCTCGGTCCTCGGCCGACCGCCAGCCACTGGCGGCGTGCACTCTGACCTCAAACGTCTCATCGACGGGATCGAAAAGCTCGATCACGACAGCGGGATAACTTGCCTCGCGGCATCTTACAGGATTGTTTCATTGATAAGCAGCATCGTCGACAGGGTGTATGACCGCAAGGAGATATCCATTTCCCTTGTCGAGGAGTTCTTGCAAAAGTTGAAGGAGTGGGGTCAGGAGGTGCCTGAATTCCTACACACACCTCCCCCTTCCTCATCTTCTCTTGGCCAAGGTGATTTACCGGATCGCAAGGGCGCAATTGGCAGAGTCCACGTCTCGTGTCTCTACTACTTCGCTGTCAACTTGGTCACCCGTCCTCTTCTAATCTCCACTCTCACAAGGGAGCAACCAACCGACGCTGTCTCTTCCCAGTTAGCATCGGCATGCCTCGAGGCCGCGACGCTGGTTGTGCAGACTTGCAGTGACGCGCACAAACTGAGCCTGTTGAAAGCCAACATGTCTACACTAATGTGAGGCTGCCTGCCTTTGACTAATTCTTGTTTTCTGACTAACTCCTGTTTTCAAGGACAATGATATTCCCGGCCGGGCTAGTGCTAGGGCTCGAGCTCTTCGCAAAGGAATCGGGACCCTACGGAATCGAAGCAGCCTTCCATGGCGCCCGGGATCTACTTGGTTTCTTGGGTGCAAAAAGCTCCCTGGCTGCATTGTATCATGAGATGCTTATATCCCTCTGGAACGTAATCTCGGAGCGTCGTACCCGGAAGCGGTCGCGCGGAGGTAACTCGTACGTATCTAGGATCTTCGCTTTCGATCGGTCTCAAACCCATGATGAGAGGCCTCGACAAGAAGCTAGCAGTAGCCCACGCCTTATTAGTGCAAGTCGGCAGGAGCAGATGGACTCTCTATTCACAGACGAGATGCCCGATAGCAATGCCCCTCTGGATTCTGGAGAGATCTTTCTTGACTGGGACAGCCTCGATATCACGCAATGGGACACTTTTCCCTTTATAGGTGGCTAGGAGTCAGTGACCATAGGTGTGGTCTGCTAACCAAGCGGGCGACGACGGAAGAGAGCACTATTAGTAAGAGGAAGATAGTTTATGTGATTGTACCATTTCACGCGGGTTGGAAGATATTTTGAGCGTCGTCTTATGACATAACACAAAGTGTTAACAAGAGTTGCCTATTTCCAAAGACTATATATGTTGTTTTAATGCAAAGGTGGAAAGGCGATTGTCAGTAAGCCAGACCGTGGAAATCTCTAGATTCAGACACTTCTGGTTCGCTAGCCTTGTCGTACCCCCTCTGTCCTACAGTCCACCAGAACCTGGGATTGAAGAGAAAGCTGCTATACACCGGCATAGGCGGGGAAAGTGGCTCCCGTGTAGATGGAGATAAAGGAATTAGCCTTAGGGTATATCTTGCTGGTAAAGTCATCTACGTGGGCGAGGCTAGTAACTCGGGCCGCGGCGCCACTAGGCATGATGAGGACGTTGAGGTCCCCTCACTATGTTTTAAAATCTTAATAGTATTTCTATAACTACTATAAGATCTAGTTATTTAATATAATATATATATATATATTAAAGTGCTTAGATTAATATAAGATAAATAAAGGAAGCTAGGTGAAAGAAGGTAGCTTTAATAGCTATTTAATAAGCTACTTATCTTAATAGTAAGTAAGTTATTAGTATAAAGGTTTATAGACTTTTCTTTCTATATAACTATAGCCTTAGGCTAATAAAAGGCTCTTTTTTAAGGTTTTTATATTTATTATATTAAGTTATCAGGCTCTAGCAGCTTCTATTGCTATTAAACTTTATTCTCTTTCTCTTAGGAGGACGTTGAGGTCAAGCTCGTCATCGAAGCTTGTAGTAGCAACGTAATCGGGTTTAAAGGTCGAGTTGTTTAAGATGCCTATGGGAGGCTTAAGCCTCACGTTCTTGCCGTCGGAGCTGATCATGTGGAGGTTTATGCGATCATGTAGAGGACCTCTAGGGGTTCGTAAACATCCATCTAGGCGGTGGCTGGCATAACTACTATGTTCTTTGAGTCTTTGAGTCCTTCTTTCTTTGAGTTATATCTAGTTCTTGATATATACTTCAATAATCTTCTGAAATATTTGGTTGTCCTTGGGGGAGCCTCAAAATGTCTGTGTGGTTTTTCAAATACATCTTACTTCCTTGTTACGCTTTTTATTTGTGCTGATATTGCTACTGCCAGCTCTTGTTTCAATGGCATCAGGGGCCAAGGCTTTTGGTACAGTAGATAGGTTTAACATTGCTTGAAGTTGCAACGACCGTGTGTTTGCCATTCTGAATCTCATTTAAAACACATCAGCCTTTCCCTGTATAGCGATGTCTCAATACCCTGTCCAATCTTTGCAATAACATCTTAGTGAAGCCAAACCATTCCCACAAGCACCATGGTCTGACTATCACCAATCTGTCGCGCTATGAAAGCGGTGTCAATTCCATACAATACCACGACACTATCTCCTGGGCGAGTCGTAGACGGCCCAACTCCTGCCAACCCCGTGTCAGTGGTAAACATTATGTGATCCAAAGCCACTTGATCGGTGAACTTCTTCTCGTTCCTCTCATAATAGCTCTTCTTTTGATGCCGATATTTCATCCTGCTTTGCTGGAGATCCTCTTCATATTGCTGTACTAGACGTTCGGTTTTGGGTGGGAGTATATTGGGGCCCTGCTTGCTCATAAATAATCCTAGCCGGTCAAACCTGTTCATCCACTTCTCAGACAGTCTTTTTCTCGTTTGCCGCACATCACTTGCAAGGGCATCTAGGATCTCTTCGTCATATTCCGTCGTGCCCGGCTCCGAGGACCGCGATTCTACCAGCCTGTTTGTTCTACAGGGCAATCCTTGGCTCATGTCAGAGATGAATACCTTGAGATCTTGCATGGTGAAGAATGAACTTTGTGGCCGCGCCCTCACAGCAAGGTAAAGCTCCTGCAAATCATCTTTCTCCTTGTTTTCCTTCCCTTGCCCAAAAACCTCCAGCGTCGATTGCAAAAGACATGATAATGGCCCCTTGGCTTCGGCCGCCAGACCACCCACAAGAAACTTGGCTTCGTGCATCGGTTTCAGAGCTGAGGCGGCAACAACTTGACCACAATAGACCCCGCGAATAACAAGCATCCCAAAGTCTACCACCGCTTCAAGATCGCGTATTTTGAGTGGCGGAGCATCAGCCCAGAGCTGAGCACAGATTTCATCATGGCAACTATCTGAAAAGTCTGGCACCCACGATGGACGGTCAGGAGAAGTTTTGTCGACGCCGATGGGAAACTCGCGGTACAACCTACTCCATTTTTCGATGCAGAGAAGATATGTTGCCAACCTAGTGTAAATGCTAGCGGTCGATTTGCCGTAGTCGGGGGCAAAAGCGGACCGCATAGGTTCCATCATGAGTGATTGGAAAGCAAAGACCTTGTCTCGAGGATCCGAAGCCACTTGGCCGCTTGTCAATTGCAGCAGATCAGCAATTGAGTGCATTGCCGGGCTCAGTCGCGCTCGCCAAAGAAGAACTGTCTGTGCTCTCTCGAGGACACTTACACAGTCGTCGTGCTCGTCGTCTTCAACAGAAATTGGGTTCGACTCGCAATGTATCCTGTCGTGGAATTGCTTGAAGACGCGGTACAGAACGCGAGCAGGTAGAAAATTGCGACCGAACATGATCAAAGGGTCGGACTTGGCATACGCCATCTCCTGAAGAATCCAAGCTCGCGACCACCAGGGACGACAGAGAATATGCACCATCTCGGCGGAAACGGCGAAACTACCCGGCTTATCGAGGAGTCTCTCGAAGGTATCATCAAGATTGTAATCATCACACGCATCATCCGAGGCGACATTGTTGCAAAATTCGAAAAAGTTGAGACAATCATGTGGCCCGAGGAAAACGACAACTCTCTTAGCTTGCTCATATATGTCAGACATGGCCGCTACAAGACAATTCTTCTCAGCCGTATCACGCTGGTTGATACAAATAGCATCAACCCACAACACCCTCTGCTTTGTTCTATGACGGAGATGGCGCAAAGCAGTGTCCAGGTTTCTGCCAATCTCCAACAGCTGACCATTTACCGTGATCGAGGTTGATTCTTTCGCATCGCCCCAGACATATGACAGGGCATCATATTTGCCTTGACCGAATAAGCAAACAACTAGACGGCATACGATGGGTTGGTCAAAGCCAGCCGGCTCAAGAGCCAGGAGACGAAAGTATCCTTTTTGAACGAATTGGAAAGTTGTACAGAGCCGAGGTACCTGCCAAGCGTTCAATGGAAGGCGCCGGATGTGGAGGCGAAGATCTAGGCAGCGGTTCAGTCTGCAGGGGATCGTGCAAGGAACATGACTGCGAATATTCATACCGCGAGGTCGCTATTTCTGTAGAGTCTAGAAAGTTGCAGAGCCGCCTTGTAACCACCCGGCTCTGTTTAGGCATGTGATCGGGGTCAAACAATTCCCAGCCTGACCAAGGCCACAGCCTAGCAGTGTGGTCTTTCAAGTGGCCTCGACGCAGTACACGGAATGCAATGATTGCGAATATTCCGAAGCTTCCGCCAAGGACTGTCCTTCCAAGCTTCTGGCCAATCAGTCCGTAGCAGAAGTAGGCAATGGTGAGTAACCCTGCGGATAAGAACAAATAACCAATGTTCTCTTGAAACACTAACGTCTCCTCCATCAAACTTAGTCGCAACCGCCGGACCAACACACTTTCTGCATGAATTTCGAAAATGAGGTTCCGATGCAGCAGCTCTCTCAACTCAGATGCTTCTTCACGCCTGTGAGCGAACATTTCTTCCTCACTGAGCACGTTGCTTGCAGCGCCTTTGGGGGACATTTCAGTGGGAAGTAGCAAAAAAATGGATAAGCGAAACAGAAGATACTCGCACAAAAGCCATCTATGTTTTCTTTCGCGCCAACCGTGCTGTCGAAAACTCATGAGGATATATCTGTTTGGTTGGGCTTCAAGATGTATGCCCAACGATATGCGTTTAGTCAGCTTCAGCTGTCAGCGGCAGGCCACAACCTCTGCCGGTTTGACCATGGCCACCAGGAAACGTCGTAATCATTGTTCTATATTCAATTTCAGCAGTCAAAAACAGCCCCGCGCATTACCGACTAGAGAATATCCCTCTATATACTACTTTCGACACCTTACACCTTGCTAACTAAGATTGTTCTTGAGAGTTGCCAACAACAGAGTGTATACCCCAAAGTTCCAAGTACAGACTCAATGCTCTTGTGCTCTTACCGAGAAAGTATGATAAGAGAGTCATTCTGGAAAAGATCTGGAGCCTAAAGAGATTCGTTGAACCAAAAATCCAGACTTTCTCGAAGAATATGTATCTACTATATCCAGCAATTTGAGACCAGAGAAAAGTCCACGCATTTGCTCAAATAATCTTTATACTTAGTATAAAGAAAGGTAAGCTTATTATTAATAATATAATACTTATTAAGTTTCTTCTTATTATTCTTATAACCCTTAAATAAGTAAGAAGCTTCCTTCTTAACTTTATTAATAATATTATTTAAATTAAAAAGGGGCTCTTATTTAGGCTTTAATTATAAGGTTATTTATACTAAGTCCTCTAAAGACTCTTAAGTAACTTAAATAACCTTAGTCTTCTTAAGCTTATAAGCTTATTTAATTTCCTTTATAGTAAGCTTTTTTAGCTTTATAAGCTTAATTTATAAAAGTAAGTATAAGATCTAATATAATATTAAGTAAAGTAGTAATAATATTATTTTTAAGTAATATTTAATTTTATACTATAGCTTTAATAATAATATAAGTTAATTAAAGTATATTAGAGTATATTAAATAAAATAAATAAAATAATTTAATTAAAATTAAGTACTTATATTAATAATAAATAATAAAATAAATAAATAGAATAGGATAATAAAGGATAAATATATATAAAAATAAAGTATTTAGAATATATTTATTTAGAAATATAAATATATTTTACTATTATTAAAAAGGTAAAAGGAATTTAACTATAGCTAAAGAGTTTAATAAGTATAAGTATATATAAAAATAAAGTATTTAAAATAGATTTATTTAAAAATAAAGATATATTTAGTTAATAATAATAAGAAGAGTTTTAACTATAATTTAAAAGTATAATTAAATTATAACTTAAGAGTAAAACTATAGCTAAAGAGTAGTTTAATAAAAGAAATTAATAAAGAGAAAGAAATTAAGTTATAATTAAAAATAAGTATAAGTATAAGTTATTAAGAGTATAAGTAAGTTATAGAGAGTATAAATAATAAAAAGGAGAAAAGGATATAGTAAAAAGGGAAAGGGGGGTTTTATATTATAATATTAAATAGTATATAATATAATAGGAAATTAAGAGATAAGGAGAGTATATTTATTAAAAGTAAATTAAAGGCTATATATTTATATAAGTATATAATTAATTTAGAATAAATCTATTTAAAATAGTAGATTATTAATAAGTATATAAGAGATTTAGTTAAATAAGCTTAAGAATATTATAAGATAATAAACTATATTTTTAGTTTAAATTATATATTACTTATTAAAGTAGAGGTATTTAGAATAAATTTATTTAAAAATAATATATTATTTATAAATATATATACTTTATTATTATAGTTTAAATAATAAAAGGGTATTTAGAATAAATCTATTTAAAAATAATATATTATTTATAAATATATATACTTTATTATTATAGTTTAAATAATAAGAAGGTATTTAAAATATATCTATTTAAAATAATAGCTTATTTAATAATATATAGCCTTTATTTTTATAATTTAAATATATATAGAGGTATTTAGAATAAATCTATTTAAAAATACTAAAGTATATATTAATATATAGCCTTTATTCTTATAATTTATATAATTTAATAAGTAGTAAGCTATTTTTAAATATATAGCCTTTATTTTTATAATTTAAATATATATAAGGGTATTTAGAATAAATCTATTTAAAAAAGAGAGATATATAATATATATATTAAATTACTATATATAAGTAAGGTAATAAGTATAAATAGAATTATAAGAAGAGATATTTAGAATAAGTTTATTTAAAAAGAAGGGATATATAGTATATATATTAAACTACTATATTTAGAGAAGTTATTATATAAAAAGAGGATTATAAGAAGAGGTATTTAAAATAAATTTATCTAGAATTAATATTATAGATATAGGAAATAAGGGGACCTATAGTTATTTATACTATATAATATATATCTATCTATATATATATATAGATAAGGAGGTTAAAGAGGGTATTTAAAATAGATCTATCTAAAAGTACTTATACCCCCCTATATCTATAGGTCCTACCCTAGAGCTTATACCTTACACCCCCTTATATATTATTAGCAAGCAAGGTATACTAGTTTTAGGATTATCGCTAGTATTAAGATCACTTTAAACTCCCTTATTATTTTAGGGCGGTGACTAGAATTAGGACTTTTCTTACTCTATATTATTAAGGGAGAAGATCCTAAATTAGGCCTAGTTCTAATACTAGTTCTAGTATATATATAATATATATATACACTATATATATATATACCTATATATAACTACATAGAGATATATAATACCGGTATATACTATATATATATACATAGTGCTTAGAATTACAGTAGATTATATATAGAATGACTATAATTTAGGGCCCAGCAATGTTCTCATGAGATGCACATCCTCCTCAACACCTCGAGACAGCATGCGACGGCGCCTTACTTGAGCAAGGCTTGACATTATCGCCACTCATCGGCACCGCATCAGTGCAAGCGAGACCAACATCAGCAGGTTCGTGTTCTACTGGTTAGCTACCTATCATCAATGCTTGTCCCTACTCACACCAATTAGGAACACCATACTCTGGCCAACCTATGATAGAGCATGTCGCTGCCTAAATACATTTATGTACGGACTTGATAGCCACATCATCTTGCGAGGGGCCACCAGTCCAAGAGCCAGTTACAAGCGTCTCCCCCCAGCAACAACAGCCTGTCAAAGCTTTGCCCTGCCGGCAAAGAGCAAGACCTCTTCGTCTGTCTCCTCCGACACCTCATCCGCCCCCCCTGACGATTCATCAGGCAGCTCCGGCGTGGACTGGTCCTCTGGATCACCCGAGATGCCCAAGCCCGCGAAGCTTTCGAGGAGGGTTGACTGGGTCAGAAGATCCTCGAGCTGCCTCTGCGGGCCAGCAACTCCCGTGTAGGTGCTCGAGTCATGCGGGCGACCATCGGCCAGACTTTCCGATAGGGTTCGTTCGATGTCCTGACCAATGCGGTCCTTGATCTTGAAGTACGTCTCCTTGTGCTTCGTGAAGATAGGTAGGGCCGGGTTCTCGGATATGTCGAACATTCGCCATAGGAAAAAGATATTGCGGTGCGAGGAGCGCACCTGGACATCCGTAGGGTAGAACTCGAAGAAATAGGCGCACAGCTTGCAAGGCGGCTTGCTAGTCCCAATAAACTTGTACTGTCCAAAGAACCTCTCAGGTCTCGTACCTCCTTCCGTGCCCTCTAGCCAGTTTAGAACAAGCATTTCCGAGTGCACAAGTGGCCTCCCGACCTGCCTCCACTTCTGGGCAATCATTTCATTGATATTGATGCCCCTTGCTAAGAGCTGCTGTATAAGTCTGCTAAACTCTTGAAGCCTAGTTGAGTCGCTGGTGATCTTGCGCACGATCTGATCGGCCATGAGCGGTTGCTTCTTCAGCGGGTTTGTCAACTTTGAGCTCGATGGTATCATATGGATGTCGGGCTCCTCAAAGAGCTCAGGCCAATGTCGCCCGCACTCGAATGCGAGGGTCACAGCCTTGTTGTAGGACAACAGACGCCACCTTACGTGAATCAGGTTTGCCCAGTATGCATCAGAGTTCTTGCTAGGGTTCAGACGATCCTCCCGAGCCGCGAAGTTTTTAATAACGGAGAATTCCTCTGAAGTAATACCACTGAGCATCTCGATCAGGTTCACCGTAGCAGAGACTCGCACTGAAGTAAACAATAATATAAGCCATGGTTCAACGGTGATTGAGCGAAAAGACCGGCTTACCCTCTTCTTTTCCAGTTTTCTCGTTTAAAACGAGGCACCCATCCACCAAGTCCCGCATCTGTCTGAGGATATTCTTAACCGATCGTGCTACACACTTGGTCAGACAACTTCAACAACTCTCCAAGGTAAGAAGAGTGTTTAGCTTACACGCTGCTGTAGAGTTTCGCTCACAAGCGCCTATGCATTTCTCGACATTTCCAATCAAAGATCTCAAGTATGATCTAACTCGATCGCGATTGAACAAAATGACATCGGCGAGAATGCTCTTTCGATGGGCCGCAAGATCCGCCTCATTGTCCGGAAGCGGTTCTCCAAACCTCTTAAGGATGTGCTTGATGCCATATTGGACGCGAGTAAGCTGCCTGGAGGTCTGCTCATTGAACGCGAAAGCATACTGAATGCATGAAGGCAGTTGCAGTGCTGTGCACGCCGAGACTGTCGAGCCGCCAGGCTCATAGCAGCAAATGTACACGAGCTTGGATAAGAAATCCCGGAACAGAGCTTCCAGGTCTGAGCCTGCGGCAGAATGCACAATAGGCTCTTGAACATGCCTTTTCGTAGGGTGGTTCTCCGTTATGACGACAAGGAGCAGCAGGATGGGATAGAAGACCATCCTAGCTTTGTCATGCATCACGGGTGTTGCAGGCAGTCTCTCGGCTTGATAGTTTCAACGTTAGTGGACAGGTGGCACAAAGAGTGTGTGGATGATGATCGACTAACACATTTTGACTCAATGATGTAGAATATGACAAACAAGTACAATGTGTGGGATCGCGTTTTCGCTGATGTAATAGACTGAGGTATGCTCGGCTGACACTGCGACGACCAAGGAGTAGCACAAGAGTCGTACAAGCCCCCTTTTATCATTTTTCCACGAACTGCCCGTCTTATCCCGCATCAATTCATCCACGGGCCTCTTGCATTCAGTAGCAGATGACACGTAGTCGCCTTCTTGCCTTTTCTTGGGAGTGCTTGGGTTTCACCGAAAGGCTGCATGAAATAGTGGTAGGCCTCCCTGAGCTGCACCTGTGATTCGACGATGCGACCCAACGTGCATAAGATAAGTCAAACCACGTCAACAATGGGTCAGCCACCACCTCGCTAGTGGTTGGACTCCCAGAATCCAGAGGTTTTTTACATGTGCGATAATAATCTCATAGTTCTGCGCCTGTAGTGCTGTGTGCCTCACTGTGAACTTCTTTCTCCGTTACTATTTTATGAGTTGGAGCTGATGAGCTGGAGGGTGCTGGCAGGGGCCTAGGCAGAAGTGCACTAAAATTAGGCCAGGACGTAGCTAAGAAACCCTGTGGCGTATATGTTCATGAGCGCTCTAAATTCTGCGCCTCAGCTGAAAAGCGCCTAGTAGCGCAATAGTGAATACTTAAGCAGCCTTACGACCAAGATGCCGTCCTACATCTTGTTCCTTGAGCTCGATTTACGCGCGCGTCATAGAAGTAGATCAAGTGACACCGAGTGGCAGGCTGTGTCACCGGCGGGTTCGGGTTGAGGGGGGGATTTCATCCACCCCACCCTGATCATATATATAATCAGGGTCCCTATACCTTAATCGATTTATTTTTAGTCCCCCTATCTACTTACCCTACCTTAATTATATATATAATTAGAGCCCTATACTATTATATATATAATTAGGGTTCTATATTATTATATATCCTATATATTATTATATATAATTAAAATCCTATACTATTATATATATAATTAAGGTTCTATACTATTATATATATAATTAAAGTCCTATATTATTATATATATAATTAAGGATTTATATTATTATAAATATAATTAAGGTCTTATATTATTATATATATAATTAAGGTTTTATACTTTTATAAAGAAAAAAAAATCTCTTTTATTACTTATTACTTTTATTTACTTTCCTTATTATCTTTTATTATTATTAATTATTATTATTATTATCTTTATTATTTTTATTATTTTTATTATTATCTCCCTCCTTTACTTCCTCCTCTACCTTTACTTTTATCTTTATTTTTACCTTTTCTTTATTATTATTTTTATTATCTCTTTAAGGATAATAAGGATATTATTTATTATAAAAACTTATTTATTTTTATTAATAATAAATTAATATTATTTTAATATTATTAATAGCTTTAGCTTTTATTATATTATTTAACTCCTTCTCTTCTATAAAACCTTATTATTAATTCTATAATATATTTTAATAAAATATATTAAAATTTAGTAAGTAAATTTTTATATTACTAAAAGGGAAGAGGTAAGATATATTAAATAAGATATATTAATTAATTAATTAATAATTTTTACTACTTTATAAAAAATATCTATTTACTTAATATTAAATTAAACTATTTAATATTTAATTAATATATTAATAAGTAAAAGAGCTATATAGTTATATAGTAGCTACTAAAAAAAAAAGGGAAATTTCTAAATATTAAGAATTAAATAACTTAATATTATACCTAGTATTATAATATATTAAACTTTAGCCTTTTTACCTAACTATAAGGCTTATATCTAGCTATATATAAGGTTTAATATTAATAATAATATACCTTAAATATAAGTCTTTTATTAATATAACTCCTTTTATAAACCTTAAAATACTACTTTTTATCTATTTAAAGGCTATTATCTTTAGCTTAATCCTTAGTAGGAAGATAAAGTATATACTACTATAAATAAACTTAATAGAACTATATAGCTTAAGTCTATATTAATAATCTATTTATAATTATTACCTTTATTACTTTACTAATTATTAGCTATATTAAGCTTTACCTTTAAAGTAGTAAAAAACTTACTTAAAGATAATTTAATAATATATTACTACCTTTACTATTAGTTAACTCTATTAAGTCTTATATATTACTACCTTTATTACTTTACTAATAATTAAGTATATTAAGCTCTATCTTTAAGGTAGTTAAGAACTTATATATACTTAAGTCTTAAATATCCTATTAAGCTCTAGCTTAATCTACTCTAAGCTTAACTAACTATAAGTATATTAAACCTTAATATTAGTTATTAACTAAGTTAGCTTCCTATTATAAAGGTAAAAGGCGCTTATATATATAAATATCTTACTTAAAGGATATATTAAGATACTAAAGGGTAAGATACTAAAGGTATTAGTACTTATTATTAAGGATAAGTAGCTATATAACTTATTAATCTTTAGGCTTCTTAATATAAATATAAGTAACTATAAGCTTATAAATATTACTAAGGCTATAAAGTTATTAAAGATTAAGGATTCTTTATTACTTAGTTTAAAGTAGATAGCTAGCTTATTTAACTTTAGTAATTATATTCTTAATAGAACTAACTCCTTTAAAGAGGAGGATTTAGCTAATAAGAGTAATATTACTTAATAATATATTATTTAGCTAACCTTTTTAATCCTAAAGTATATATTAATATAAAATAGTAATTATAATTATTATAACCTCTAGCTATTAGAAGGCTAAGAAATTAGTTTATTATAAAGATAGTTACTAAAGTTACTTAGGTTAATAGAATATATATAATTAGGAAAGAGAGGAGGAAGGAAGAAAGAGAGATAAATAGCTAGGCTAGTTAAATATAAGCTTACTTATCTCTCTTAAATATATAAATATATATAAATATATACTTATCCTTATATCTCCCCTAGTTCTAAGAATAAAAAAGAGAATTATATAAATCCTATAAACTACTTAGCTAAGAAATAATAATTTAAATTAATAAAGAATTAAGGTCTAAAATTAAAAAGTAAAAGAAAACCTATACTTTAAAAGGGAATAAACTTAAGGAAGAAATTATTAATAAAAATATAAAAGAATAAATTAATTAAATAAAAAATAATATAAACTATTTATAAAAGAGTTATAGTATAATATAATAATAATTAATTAAAGGACTTTAAAAGCTATTAAAATAAAAAGCTTATTTAATATTATTATTAATATTAAGATTAAGAGGAATTAGCTTATAATAATAATAAATTATAAAGTATAAAAGAATTATATTTTATTAATAATAATTAATTAATACTTATTATTATAAAAGGGAAAGAAAAAACCCTATAATATTATTAATATTAAAGAGATAAAGTTTAAATATAATAATAGGATTATTAATTATAAGATTAATTACTTTATAATTAAAATTAATAAAAAAAACTTTAAGATTACTTATAATATAATATAAATTAATATTTATAATATTATATTAAGCTTTCTATAGTTAAAAGATATAAACTTATTAATTAATTAATTTATTAAGTATATAAAGTAAAAAGATACTTTTATAAATTAAAATTAAAATTAAAGAAAATTAAAATTTTATTAAAAGTTAAAAGAATATAATATTTCCTTAATATCTAAAAGTATTATTATAAAAAACTTAAATAATAATTTATAATAATAAGTAAATATAGTAATTATAGCTTTAGTAATATTATAACTTAATATAATAAAGAAAATATTTTAATAAGAACTAAGATAAGTAATATAAATCTTAAGATAGATATAGAGATAAAAATAACTCTTAAATATATATTTAATATTAATTAATTAAGAATAACTAATAATAGAATAGTAATAAGAATATAAAGTTAAGTATAATTAATAATAGAAGGAAATAGAAAAACTACCTTTAGAACTATTTAATATAGGAATTTAGGAATAAAGCTAAATAAATAATAAATAAAAAGCTTAATAAAATAAGAAGAGTAATACTTAATATAAGTATTAATAATAAAAATACTTAAAATAAGAAGAATAACTTAAGAATATTCTATAGGAATATAATTATTTTAAGAAAATACTATTTATAAAATATAATTATTAACTTTATTTATAAAATACTTTATAATATTTATATTAAAGAAAAATAATAAACTTTATTTAATAATTAACTATTAATAATTAAATAAGATTATATATAAAGATAAAATACTTTTATTATTAATTATTAAACTTAAAAACTAATTATAAAGTAAATAGTAATTTATTATATTAAATTTAAAGAGAGCTTATAATTTAATATAAATTAAGAAAGGAGATAAATAGAAAATAATATTTAGAATAAAGTTTAATCTTTATAAATACCTTATTATACCTTTTAAATTAATAAATATATTTATAATATTTTAATAAATAATTAATTAAATACTTTAAGAGTATTTAAATATTTTTATAATTATTTATTTTAATAATATCTTAATATTTTTTAATAACTTAAAGACTTATAAGAAATATATATATTAAGTCTTAGAAAAATTAAAAAAAAAGCTAACCTTCTTATAGGATTAGAGAAAAGCTACTTCTATATATAAAAAGTTAACTTTTTAAGATATATTATTTAATTAAATAAAATATAAATAAAATAAAATAAGATTACTATAGTTAAGAATTAGAGAATATTAAAAACTATTAAAGAAATATAAGCTTTTTTTAGTTTTATTAATTATTATTAATAATTTATTAAAGATTATAAAAGAATTACTATATCTTTATATAATATTATAAAAAAAGAGATAGAATTTTAATAGAAAAATAAATAGTAAAAAGTATTTAATAAAATTAAGAATTAAATACTCTTAAAACTTATATTATAAATATTTAACTTTATAAAAGAAGTAGAATTTAAAACTAATATATTTAATTTTATAATTAGTATATAACTTAGCTAAAAGGATAATAATAAAGTATTATACTTTATAATATT